TATCCAGTCTAGCAAAAACGTACTGGAGCAAATCAGTCAATTAGAGACGAAACTGACAAGAGCTCATTTTGAGAGATCGTCAGACGAAATTTCCGCAAAGAATAAAAGCTTCACAAAATTTTTCGAAAGTATTTTGAGACTATTAATAAATTCAAAGAAACGTTGAAACGTTCATTGCAGCAACATAACTTATTTCAACTTCCAATAGAATATTCAAGTCTCTTTTCCAAAAAAAAATTATGAAATTTCAAAAAAAAAAAAGAGAGCAGAAAACGACTGACGACTGCGGATCCTGCTGGTTGTCGAATGGGAAAATTTTTACCGAGACCGCCGAAAAACCGTATCAAAACGCAAATGCCTTACGTAAACATGCGTGACGATTTTGCAACAACCCAGTGGAAAATTGGGTTAGATGCGACCACCGACCCGACGTTGATCTTTTCTCGTTTTCCTATCGGTTTTCCTGATCGAACGGACAGCTTTTCCTAGATTAATCGAAATGAGAGCGGATGTTCGTTATTAACTGCCGATTTTGATAGGCTAATCGATAAGAAGTTCGAGAAAGGTTTAATAGAAAAAAAAACTTCATAAGAGTGAAAAGTTTCATCTGAGCCTAGAAAAGCCATGAAAGATAAAAAAAAGAAAAGCTGAGTTGCGCTTTTTTAAATTGCTTTTTTTCCTCTTACATAATTAGTCCCATTCTTGATTTTGAAAAAAATGCTAGAGTTATACTTTTTTTCAAACTTGAAAACGCTATAAATTCATCAAAAACTTTTTTGTTGAATTAATGAGTTACGGGAAGACTGAAATCAAAAAACTAACTCAAGGCGTTGAGATAAAAGTCATTTCCAAATCAAAGTGCTTGACTGAGAAAATAGCTCTGCGAGAAGGAAGTTAGGAGCTATTTCAAAGAAGCGCGCATTTTGTTCAAGTTTCATCTATTTCCTGATAACGTCTCTCTAATTTTCACTGAATAAACTTGATTCCATTGAGAGCTGAATGATAAGAGCAAGACAAGAAGCAGTAGAAGAGCTTACCGCAAGCCGAATGCTGGGTTAGGTTGAGTTTCAATGCAAATTTACATACACGGTGTCATTGCCGCCTTGTTTTGGCGTTGTTGGCGCCCACCGAACCGAGTATTATTTGCCTTTTTCGGAGAGGTACCTCAGCTCTTGTTGGGGCGACGAAAAGCTCAAACCAGAAGACTACCGTCAACGATATACCTGAAGTTTCGTGAAAAGTCGAAAAAATTGAAAAAACTGGTGACTTTTCTGCTATCAAAATACGCAAAATAAACGTTTAGAACTTTTCGAAAGGGAAAAATTTATTTTTATTTGAAAATAGGACGATACAAAAAAAAGAAAAGAAAAAAGAAGAAGCCGCCGTGCAATATGTCACTGGGAATTGTGTTTTCAATGGAAACATTTTTGAAGCTGCAGTTTCTGCCTCGGAAAAAAAGAAAAAAAAAACGCAGTTTAGTGTAAAATCACAGCAATGGAGCAATTATCTATCGAGAAGATTTTCCCAGGCGCGATAAAGCGTTTACGACGGATATTTATCAATTTTTCAGAGCGGTAAATCTGAAAAAGTCCCATAGAATTCTGAAAACTGTTAAAACGGGTCTAAAAATGAAAAAAGAAAAATAAAAGTTTCATTATGAAATAGACCTAGCTCTAAATTTGATTTATAAACTAATCTAGAAAAGCCTATATCAAAATTCAAAATCAAAATCAAAAATGTTTTTATTTCTCACACACAAGTACTAAATTTCACGAAATAGATGTAGGGAGAGTTTGGGAACATATGTGTCGGAAATATAAAAAACATTAAAAACTCGTTCGATTATTGAGAAACATTTTTTTCGGATATTCAGCTTCTTCAATGATTTTAAAGAAGCTGAGTTGAACTAGAAATTTTTAAACTTTTAATAATGTGAGCCAAAATTTTTTTCAATGAAAAAAATTTCAAGAGAAACTTTCTTTTGTATATTTTTTTGATTGCTCTCCCATTATTTTAAAAATTTTTATTTTCAAAGTGCTAGTGAAATTGAAAGTTAGGAGAAAAGATAACTACTATTGATGACTAATGAGGAACAAGCTTAAGTCCTTTATATTCCTTTCATGTTGATGAGGGTAGACCAGCCATGTTCTAACACGCGCTGTCAGCGAGCGCCCCCGTATTTTTTTACCAAAGCTGAGAGATCGTTCTAGCACAATTTAGTCTTAGATTTTTGAAAAAAAAAACGCAGCTGGGTCACCTATTTCTTCATACACCCTTTGGTCCCTTTTTAGCACAACTGAAACTCAAATAGCCTCAAAATCATAGGTTTAATACGGGTACACCCCTTTAGATACCCGGCCACCATGAAAGTTACATTGTCGCGCCAAAAATTTGCTCTACTTATATGCCAACATTCTGAAACATTTGTTTGCCTCGGAAAACCATTTCAAGTGTAACTCCGACAACAAACGGCGAGTTTTTCTGTTTACTTGAAACGAATGAGTTTACGACGACGGAATATCCTATATAAACCGCCAAAAGAGCTTTCTAAAAAAAACCTCAAGTTCATATTTTACCGGTAGTTTCAAACAAAAAAACCCCTCAGAAGGCAAAATTTCTGGGGCTCTCAAATCAGCCCAAAAGAGTATTTGCGCTACCGCTTCAACTTTTGATGGTCGTTTTGTCAATGTCCGATATCTTTCGTTTCAGCTTTTTACAAAATGCTGAACTTATCACCAGAAACTTTAGAGAGGCAAAAATGAAGTGGCCAATTGGAGTGTCGGCGCAGCGGCGGAGGCTGTTTTGTGTACTCATTTCTCATTCCCTCTGATTTTGCAATTGAGAGCCCTGTAATCGGCGCGGCAAATATACGTTACGATAAACTGCTCAACGGCGAAATTGACTTTTAGGAAAACTTCTGAATAAAGAAAGTAGAATGATTGAAAAAATCTGTGAGGGACAGAAAAAATTTAAGTGTTAATTTTCTCAATTCGGCTGTAGATTATCAGACCATGAAGGAAAGAAAAAACGTAAGACAGTTCGCCCATCATTTAAATTTTAGTCAGCAATAAAATTTATCCAACTCGAAAAATTGTTTAGAAAAATCTAGTAAAAAAACTCCTAATCAAAAAAAGATGTTAGATCATATAAATCTCGGCAAGTCTCAGCATAGATTTGAAGACGAGTTCGATTCAAGCTGGCGGAATGGCGGTTAATGGAGGAAGCTTTTCCGAAATTATTCACTTTTGTTCTGGCCGCTGGTGGCGCTCTCAATTTGCCCCATTCTTGGCCCGATGCGCCGCAAATATGCAAATTAGTCCGTGTTACAGTGAGTATCATTATCGGCATAAAATTTGAGGAAATAGAGAATGAGAACAAACTAGCTCGACTTGAAATAATTCGGTCAATTTGCAAAGAGTCATGGAAGTCAGTACAGAGCAAATATGGCTTCAACATTTCAAAATGTCAAAAAATTCGCCTTCCATTCTTTATTCGTTGAGCGAACCTTCACAGTACTTTCTCCTCATCTCTAAGTAAAAAAGAAGTTTTTCAAAGATGCAAAAAGGTGATGATGAGATCTTGTGGAAGGAAAGATTATGGTTGTTTAGCTAAACACCCAAGACAAGATTTGCCATTGAAGCAAAGGGGAAAAACAAACAAAAAATGTAAAAGTCGAAAAAACAAAAATAACCCTTTTTCATTTATGTGAGCGTCCCGAGGGACTTTGAAAAATTAAACAAAAAGGTTTGATAAAGCGCGAAAATCCACGATAATCGAAAAAAAATATATCAATGAACATAGTGTAGGAAATAGAGTACTATTGACATTATTGCTTTATTTTTATTAACAAATATCAAAAGAGAACTATTCTTTAAAAAAAATTTTTTTCATTCTTACTAAAAATTATTACTAAAACAGAAAAACTTTATGCAGGCGAAGTTGCAAAAAAGAAAAAGAAAAAAATCTCCGAAAAAAAAAATGTTTTTTTTTTCCGATTTTAATGAGCATGTGATTTAGCGTCGTTCTGTGTATGCACCAAAGACGTCATATATCACGAAAACTGTAGGCGTGGCATCGTTAAAAGAACGCCGTGTAGGCCGGGGCTTTGATGAAGTATCCAAGAGTTTGGACATAAGATTGAGAAAAAATTTTTTGATATAGTGATGAGGTAAAATATCAGAATTTAAAGGCGAGGAAGGCGGATCTTCAAAGTCTAGATCACTTGACGTCATTTTTTTTATAGAGAAATCAGTTTCTTTTATTTTTATGGTAATGTTTTTGTAGATGAAAAATCACTGGAAACGGTCAGAAATGGGGAAAGAAAGCAAGCAGATGCCGGTGCCAATCCATCATTTATGCTCATTTGCAGAATCTCTGGGGAGGCGCCGGAAAAACCTTGACGACGAGCGGGTGATTAATGGCCGAGTGGGCCGTACCCGTTCGCTCAGCAAAGCCTAATTGTCTAATTAACATCCTTTTTTTGCTTTTCGTCTATTTTTGGTTCTAAAAATTTTTGTCATAAATGAAATGATAGCGAAGCAAAGAAAAGGGTTTGGTGAAAAGAGCTCTCCGAAATCGTTTGGCGGCCTGTGCGATTTTTATGTTTGACCCACTCCGGGTGATCAAACGCGCAACGATTTATCGCGCACATGTCTCCACCTCAATATTTGGCGCCTTATCCTCAAAATTGTAGGCTCTCCTCAGTTAAACTGTCAAGGTTTCGTCACCAGTATCAACGGAAAAACACGGCGACTAGAATACAAAATAAGGAAAAAAAATTCTAGTCATGAAACAGCCGCAGGTCTAAACGGCCAGATTTTTTTTTCTTGAAAATCCTCATCAAAAAAATACTGACTCTTGAGAAAAAAGGTCCACATTTTTTTTCAAGAAATCAAACTAGATCAAACAATTCACCTAATAGTCCATTTTGTAAGACCGAAATGAAGAAATGTTCACGGATTGAAGTTATTTATAGGTATTATACAATAAGATGAGCTTAGTTATTTGTATTCATTGTAACGTGAAGTTATGCGACTGACGAGCTCCGTCGTAGAAATGTACGGCGTTCGGATCGTCGTCAGAAATCGATCAGCGTCCTAGGAAACTTTTTTTCAATTAATCGATTCAAAAAGTCACTTTGAAAGGCGTATAGCAATCGTCTATGTGCTCAGAACCAACTGGATACGGAAAGTCGTCGTGAGCCGCCAGGTCGATCTTAAAAATGTTAACATTAGAGGTACAGAAAAATATTGATGTGATGAAGGTAGTCCAGTTCTTGTCATTTTGTTGATGTAAGAAATTCGAATTGAACTGTTGTAAAAAAAATTTAATTGCACACCTTGAATCGATTTAAAAATTCTATTGTCGGGTAAAATGGCGGTTGTGTGATTACCTCGTCCACATATGGGCACAGTTTGACGCTCTGAAAAGAGTAAAATTGCAATTTCAGCATAATAACTTCTTTTTTGAGAAACACCTGAATACGTTCTTGGTGACTCATCACTGGTTTCTTCAGTTTGTACTTGAAGCAGTCCTCGTCAGAGATTACTGAAAAAAAGTGTGTCGAAAAAAATCAAAAAGCCATTTTTATAAACAAGCGAATTAAAACTTTTCGGGAAAAATGCAAAACAAAAAAATATAAATCGTGCACTTTTTCCATAACTCTCTAAATGACTATCCAACCTCCCACCATCAAATGAGCTCCTGAAAATCGATCCTTGATTTGTTTCAGTTGTTGAACATGCCCGAAATGAAACAAATCGTAGACACCATCAGCATATATCCGAACTTGCCGTTCCACTAAAATCCATAACTACCAAAAAATTAATTTAAGTTTAAAAACAGACTTTCCGGATGGTTTGAAATCTGAGTCAAGGTATAAGCTTCAAAGTTCATTAGTGCAAAAGCGTTGTGAATATTTCAGGCAATCGAAGTGATTGTACGTTTCAAACACTAACATGACTATTATAGGTCAGTCAGCTGATAAGGAATGGATGACGTTTTCAAAACTCGTATTTTCTTTTGAGCTTCTGAGAGCGGAAAAGTATGAAACAAGGGTATTTGATCCTTGATGCAGCTTTTCTTGGGTCAAATACTTTCGAACGTTTTTTTTTACTATGAAGAAAACCTATAAGGATGCAATATTACGAAAATAAAAATTTTGTTGTTGGTATACACACTCTAACTTCTTCAAAAAACTAATGTAACAGAAAAGTTTATTGCGGAAGCTTATTGAAGAAAAAAAAACAAAAGCACCAAAGGTCGATCAAAGTTCGCCTTTGTAACAAACATGGTCATTGGAAGAAGCATATTTGCGGTGCATGAAAATATCAGAGCAGACGTCGCACTTTCGGGCCTCCATGTCGTAGCCGGTCTGATCTCCAATCCGGTTGACCAACGTCGAAGAGGCTCTGCAGCCGTAGACTCCGCCAGCAATGCCGCAAGCCAAGGCGCCTACCATCGTGCCGATACCAGGAAGCAGCATCGTTCCAACAGAAGCTCCTTAAACCAGAACACTGATAAATTGGAACTTATTTTGGTTTCTGAGAGCCACCACTGCAAGCAAACTTCTTCAAAAAATTAAAGAAAGCTCAAATTTTTTAAAAGTCTCTGAGGTTTATTGCTCGGGCAAAACTGAAAAGCTCCCCAAAACATAGGTAAAGTTTCTTTGAGGATCCTTAAGGGAGCCGGATAGGTAGATAAAAGGCTTTCTCTAAAAGCTCCTAAAATGATGTAAAAAAGCTTTTGAGCATCTTTTTCATAGCCTAAGAGGATCTTTTTTAGTTGCTTTCCAGCCTCCTTTTTGTTAGAGGTTGTGAAAAAGATGCAATAAAGAAGTGAAATGATATAAAAGATCCGCTGGGGACCCTTTAAAGGTCTTTTTTCGATAAAAGCTTTCTCGGGCAAAACTGAAAAGCTCCCCAAAAGCTTTTCTCAAAAAAAAAAGACCTTGAAAGGGTCCCCAGCAGGTCTGTTTTATATCATTTCAATTCTTTTTTGAATCTTTTTCATATCCTTTAACAAAAAGGATGCTGGAAAGCAAGATTTGAGTGAATTCAAAAACGATTCCGTGTAAAATCTTCACTCGAAGTGGTCGCTCTCATTCTGAGGCTTCCACCTAGAGCACGATCTCCGGGCTCCAGCTACACCATCCACTACATTCTGCGCTCGTCAAGGCGCAACTGGATGGACTACGCGCAGAAGGATAAGACGAAGGACCGTAAGAACATGCTTTCTACTCTTACGACTACACGCCAGGACTTCTAGTTCGCCAAAGACGGTTGTTCGTTATAGCTTTTAAAGTTCTTGTTCACCGCCTAGTCGATTACATCAGACCAAAACAACAAAATAAATGGTTTGATTGATTTGATCCTCTGAGGCTATGAAAAAGGAGCTCAAAAGCTTTTTTATATCATTTTAGGAGCTTTTAGAGGAAGCTTTTTATCTTCCTCTCAGGATCCTTTAAAGATCCTCAAAGGAGCTTTTTCCGTTTTACCTATGTGTGCAAATTTGTTTAAATCAATCAACTATTTATTTTGTTGTTTCAATCACAGATGTAATCGACTAGAAAAACTTTTGAAGCTATAACGAACAACCGCCAATTCTGAACGGCTTAATATGAAAAATAAAAACTTTGTATAAATTGACGAGCAACTCACCAGCTAGCAGCGGCGTATCCGCCGGCCCAAGTTCCGGCAACAGTTGCAACTTCCGAAACCGTGTTTCTAGTGGTTCCGTTGCTAAAGTCTTCCGTCGCCGCTTTGCTGATCCTGTAGGCGTCCGCAGTGACAGCCGCCGCCGTTAGCAGCGGTGCCGCTTCGTTGAGCTTCTGAAGGGCTTTCCCGGTGACGCCAATCGCCTAAATCAAACTTTTCAAAAAAAAAAAAACGAAGTTCGCACCTTGAGATGAAGTTTGGAGATTTTTGTGTGAGGGTCACGAACACCACTGATTTTGTAGTTGACGTTAATGTGAGGATAGTTGGCGCCAGGATGCGGATTGTCGAATCTAACCCAAGAAGTTGCTTGCCCTTTGGCCGATATCACCGTCTTGTCAAACACGTTCACCACGGTCGTCGTGGTCGACTTGCACACGACCTTGTAATGAGCAGCGTTGCGCATTGCCGACGCCAAGAACCCTGACGTCGCCGTTCTGATTCTAGCACTCCGAGTATCCTCTCCCATTCTTAATAGAGCAATGAATTAAAACCCGAAAAGCTTCATAAAAAAATGTTCACGAAATATTTTTGAATAATTTTTAGAAAAAATATTCGAAAAAAAGCGATATTCTCACTTGCTAGAGTTTAAAGAAGCATATGAGTGCAGCGTATCAAAAACCTCTATTTTCGTATCTTTTTTTTCAGATAAGGGTTTTTTCTTAAATTCGACTATAAAATGAATAAACCAAGCGTTCAATAACTGCGCGGCTAGCAGCAAAGTAAGTAGCAAAGTAAGTATAAGTATTATATAAATATTATCAACATTTGCCGTACTCTTATCGAAATCACACGAAACTGTTCGATCTTTCTTGCTGTCAGATTGAAAAAATGCATCAGTGCCGTTCAAACTCGAACTTTGTTCACATTTCGTATTTCAGGTAAACGCCTAATCTTCGCATCTTATGCGAAGATCAAACTAATCAGAAAGCGAGCCATCCACATAGCGTTGTTGGAGGCGATGATGCTGCTTGACGAAATCTGAGCAGACGAAAGGTCTTATTCAAACAAGACCTTTCCATACATGTTCAAAAAGAATAACAAGAAAAGACAGTTAGAAATAAGAAGCTCGTCGCTGAATTCTATCAAGTGAAAAAAATTGGGCTTGCTGATACTAGCCACATGGCGCTTTCTTTCTCAGCCTTCTCCACTATATAGTTTATATAATATATAGCATATGTTCTTATAGTTTGTTCATATTTTGAATGTCAAGTATATTGACTTCATTCGAAAGCGCTCTGTGAATGGCTCGCTTTCTGATTGGCTTATCGGGCCATTAGGGGCGGAGCTTTAGGAGCGACTTGACATTCAAAATCTGAACTGCAAAAATAAAGCGTGTACGTTTCGATTTTAAAAAGATTGTTGCTTCATCCAACATAACTGCCTACATCGCAGCGGACTTTTTGCTGCGACGTCGCTGCAACTAACGTCTCGCTGCCATATCGTTCCCTCTCATAAATTAGAACATTAAAAAAAAATTTTTTTTGCTTCATAGTTTACTTTTATGACGATATGAATCAAATTGACAAGAAAATGTTTCCGAAAGCGATATAGCGCAAGCAAGACGTTTGCGAGGTCGCAGCGCGAGGCGAGCGATATTCCTCGCGGCTCTCCCGCGATATATCGTTTACTCTCGCTTTTATATAACCCATAATATGAAGTATTATTGAATCTTAAAAACTCCACTACTTTTTTTCGTCAGAACCTGTCCGTAAAGGAAGCGTTAATTTTGCAGATAATGCGTGACTTGAATCCGATGGCTTCTCCGCAGATCTCCCAACATTATCGGAATCCCATGAAAAAAAACACCGAATCGCATCCAAACAAACAAGCGAATGGGTTCACGGGTGACGAGGCTCGCGTGGAACTGGTAACTTCTCCGTGATTTTCTATGGGACGACGATCCGGTCTCAGCCATCCGAACACGCCAAATTGCGCCATCGCGCACTTTTTTCTGCCTCTCGACTCGTCGTTTACTAACTGCAACTTTCCATTGGTCCAATTATTGCTTTTATTTATTTTTTATTGATGGTTATTTTAATACCTCAAAGTCCAGAATTGGAAACGTTTCTTTTTTCTCGTACACATAGTTGATAAATCTGAATTTCAATATTTAATGCTGAGTAACTAGGCGTGGTTTGAACTGCTACCAAAGGCGCTTTCAGAACTTTTTCGTTTTTCAATTCAATCTCATGATAAAAAAAATGTGGTTTTTTTATTAACATCTTTCAAATCCGATCAATAAAACAAAAGATGCGACCGTTTAGTTTTTGTGTGGAAAGAAATAGGAAAAAAAGGACTTCAGAAAAAAGTCAAAGAACCGCTCAATGACCGCAAAATTTTCTGCAGAACACTAATTATCGTTGACCTCGTTTCTCAGACTTCAGTTGTCTACAATTCTTTCGTTTGTCCAGAAAACCTTCCACTTTTAGCATCCGAATGAAATTCTACGTGATTTCTGCTATTCTCGTCTTCCGCATCGTCGATGCCAAAGAGGTAAGTTGTTTTGAAATAGGTTTTAGTGTTATTAAAAATCAAAAGCTTAAAAAAGAACAGCTTGTCTGAAAAAAAGCTTGAAAAAGCTTTCCTTTTTTTTTCAAATCTGAACCAGCAAACTATATTGAGATTGGTTACCCAAGAAACTGAAGTTCAAGCTTTTCTTCAATAAATAAATATTTATGATGTTAAAATCTTCAAGAGGCTAAACATACTTTTGGATATATTGAGCGTAGTTCATGATGAAATAATTCCTAGGGAGTTCCGGTTAATGCTACCGTAAGCATGACCATCAGCCCATCTTCAAACACGACGACATCCGCAATCGATCGTAGTGAGCCGATCATAGAAGTGAAGCGTGCGATTGAAGAAAAAGAATTAGTAGAGAAGAACAAGATCGACGAGGTCAAGGAGGAACTCGACAAAGCTGTGAGTGCTGAAACTTTTCAGAAACCGGAGCCATCTCGGCAAAAATGTGGTCTTCAATCAAAAATAATTTCAGAGCCGATTTAATATAATTAATCAAAAATTAGATATAGTCAATGTTCCCCGACTTGAAAGGCGAGGAAGGCGGGGCAGGGGGCGTGACGCGTAGCGTGTGCGTTCGCGGTCTTTGACACGTGTTCAATTCAACCGCCATCGACTCTTTGAAAATCCCGTTTTTCGCTCTTTTCATTCCTTTTTCAATTATTTATTGATTATGTTAATGTGTGCATCAAAAAATAGTAGAAAACATTGAAAAAGACCGGTTGCCGAGCTTTTTGAATAGTCGGTGGCAATTGAACTGAACACGTGCCAGGGACCGCGAACGAACACGCTACGCGTCCCGCCCCTTGCCCCGCCCCCTCGCTTTTAAAAATCGGGAAACATTGACTATACGACAGGATCCGAAAATGTGGCAGCTTTTTCGGAGCTTGTTCATTTCGAAATCAAACCTGATCATTACGGTCAATTTTTGCCACTAGAAAATCTGGACTCACATTTCCACTGAGTCAAGCGTTGTAAAAATTCAATAAGTACGTTTTATACGGATTAATAAAAAGGCATAAAAACGAATGAAAATCTTGAAAAAAAATTCAGTAAAAAAGCTGAACTTTTTATTTTTCAAGTCTTCCAGGTGCACAGTTTGAACAAAACAATTCAAGCGAAAGGCGACGAAGTCAATGGTGCTGTCGCCGGTGTATCAAAGGTACGGAAATTCCGTCTATGCTTCAAAAAAACACCTTGTTCGTGCAACTTACCATTGAAAAATTTGAGAATATTCTGCATTGTGCTAAGTTTCAGCAAAAAGAAATCGTATTTGGGGATTAAAAAGTTACTCATATCTAGGCTCACAGAACCACTTTTTCAACTTTAAAATCAAAATAATAGATAAAAAAACAGAACTCATGATAAAAAAACTTCGAGTTAGTTTTTTTGAAGAAAATTAATATCAAGAGTTTAGTCCTTGGAGTCATGTGTCTCTGTCGACTGCAACAACCGTGGAACCTGCCTTGGAACCAAGAGAAACTTTTTATGCGCCTGCCAACTCGGATATTCTGGCAAAACTTGTGAAGAAAGTGAGTATCTCAACTCGATCAGTTGAAGCTGAACAGAAAGCTTATCTTACAAGTCTTTATTTGGATAGCTTTCAGAAGCTATTAGCCGATTTCAAAAGTTTTAAAAAACGAAAATTTCAAACAAAAAATCAGTTAAATCTTTCAATGATGATCATACAGTGTTGAGAGTTGCAGCCGTGTGTGACTCGCGACGCGATTGTAATGGCCGCGGACTCTGTTTCGGTACGACCAACACCTTGACTTGCCTCTGCAACCTCGGTTTCACCGGTCCCCGTTGTGAAACTCTGATTTAACAAGAAAAAGAAAGTGTATCTCGTTGGTAATTATATGTGCAATTGTAAGAATTTTAAAAAAAATAAATGATTTTATGAGATAAAACTTCTCAAGTTTCCTTTGTATAAAGCCAACCTCCATTTAACTCAAATTTAAAAAAGATGTAATTTTGCAAAACAATTTTCACGACAAGTTCATGCTACCATCAAGAAGAAAAATTAGATGCCGGTTGATTATTTGCCCTCTTCTTTAGCAGATTCTTTGCCACCTTCACCTTTTTCCCATCGTCAGTTCTTCATATTTACCGTCCTAAAAAAATTGTAATTAAAAAGTATAAATTTTTCGGAAAACTATTTACTCACAGATTCTACACTTCTTGGATAATATACTCAACTTACTGAGAAGAACTCTAGGGGCCCTTTAACGGGCTCCTCAAGGACTTTTTGGAGAGGACACTTAAGTGACCACTAAACAACTTCTATACAAGCCACCATATTATCACTTTAATAGTTTTAGTCGCCTCTTATTTTTAGGCACACAAGTTTTCACTAATTTGACTACTATAGTGGCCACTTAAACGTTGAAACCCTAAAGTGCCCACTAAAATGTTTTACAGTATCAATTGCATCGAAAAAAATTTTTCGATGTTTTCAGACAAGAAAAATTAAGAATCTCAGAGCTTTTTTAAAACTGCATGACACAAAGAACGCTTGCCATGAAGTTCCTTGATTAAAGCCAATGTCGAATGGTCGACAACGTGAAAAAAGAAGTCACTACGAAGTAAACCCACATCAAGAGTTTGATCACCAGCGCAGTCAGACCCCTTGTCTGAGCTTTTGATAGTTGGTCCAGCGACAGCCGCCCTATTAGATGCAGGTGGATTTGAAGAAGCAGGAGTTTTTGCTGGAGCAGCACCGCTGCCACCACTAACAGCGATAACTCCACCGGTAGAAGCCGCGGCTGGTTTGCCGACCGCAGCATTCGAGTTTTTTCTACTGCTAGCTGCCGTTCGAGGTTTGGCCTTCTTGCAGCCGACCAGTGCCGTCACTAACAGAAGGCTCAGTTCAATGGATATCTGCTATCTCGTGATACTATTTTTGAAATAAACTTCTTGTCTCACCAGAAGAAAAAGAAACATTGTGGCAAGTTCTTAATGGCAAAGCTGCTTCCGATGGTGAGTTATCGGATGGAAATGGTTCGTGTAACGACTTTTACGTTTTAATTAGCTTTCTTATTATTTCGGTTCCAAATCAAAAAAAGTTTTCTCGATTGGTCCTTCTAATGAATCAAATCATACGTAAAAGGCGACTCTCATCGTTTTTGTCTCTGATTTTTAAAGGAACTTCGCAGTTATGAAAGCACGCCATAATTTTTTCTGGTACCTCTTTCTGTTAAAAGTATCGGAAAGCAGAATATAAATGGAGCAGTTCTTACTTGGAAATTTATAACGTTTTACAATCGCTTTTGAATAAGATCAAGAACGGCGCAAAATTGACCTTCGGTAATTTTCGTTTAGCTCAAGTACCCTCATGATCTGAAACAGACTAAGGTTTTATTCGAATAAATCAATCAGCCCCTCTAAAGCTTCACGTACCCTCTGAGAAAACATATTCCTTTTCACCTCTGGTATAAATTTAAACTTGTCCTCTTGAAAAGCAAATCTTTTCCGAGTGACCGGCCAAGCGGACCACCAACAAGTAATTCGGCAACAATGGTCTGTTAGAGGATTTCCGGACGCGAGGGGAAGCTCCTCCAAGTCTAAAATGCTTTTGAAAACGCGTTGTCTCATAAGAAATTCAACTCCAAACTCGGACGCACCTCCTTTGCAGCTTCCTATACGTTTCTCCCGATTTTTAGTTTCATGAGATTATGTACCATTTCATTTAAATCCTGCGAAGTGACGCTGGTAGTTTTTGAAACCAAAGCTAAAAACACTCATTTTTTGAGATTTTAAATGTGATATCTATTCAAATTCCCGCTATTGCTTCGATATATAGCCTGTGTACCACGGCTTTGAATTTCACCGAACGACATTCCGCTGTTCCGCTTTTAATTTTTCATTTCATTCAAGAACTCGATCAACACGTGTTCCTAGTGGAACAGTCCATCTATCAGAAATGGAAACCTATTCAAAGCGAGACTGAGGCTCGCAAAGACGCTTCGCGACGCAGCGAAACAGCGGAATGTCGTTCGGTGAAATTTAAAGTCGTACCACACAGACTATACATATCTCATCTTTGCTGAAATGGGCAGTTTTTTCACCGTATTATTCTGCAATTTTCTGTAAAATCGCTCAAAAAATCTTCGAAAGGCTGGAAATCGAACCTACCTAGTTGTTATTTGCGCAAAGTCCAATATTCAAAGATATGAATTTTAAAACTTGAAAAATATGGGTTTCAGACTTAATTCCTGTCGAATTTCTCTGGGTCCATAACTCAAAAACGGAAGTTTTGAGCAGATAGCCACTATTTTCGGCCGATTCGTAGTCCATCGAAGATCGTCTGGGGGAATTTCCCGAAATTTCTGGAAGGCTATTTAAAAAGATTTCTATGTGAGATTTTTTTCAGTTTGTGACGATTGCCAATGAAAACTCGAAAATTTAGCATAATTTTTTCCGTTGACTCCGTGTTTGAAACTGGATTATTTAACTATTTCTGCTCTTGAATGGCGCCTACTACAGTATCAAAGAAATCATTCCTATAGAAGACAAGCCGTCGGCGAACCCCTTTTACGGCTACCGATTACATCATTCGACCCCGAGTTTGTTGCTTCTCGAGTGGCCACTCGACACAGCTTAACGCTCCCTTTCTGAATACATTAATTATACAATTTTGTTTGCTGGCGAAAAACAAGGCCAGTTTCTTTTCCCTTCATTCTCTGTCCATCTCAGTGGGTCACTTTCGTGAATGGGCCTTTTTTGCCTAGTGACAGGTCGAAATTCAAAAGTTTGAGGGATCGCCGCACCGATTTGTCTTCTTGGCTACCTCAATTCGCTAGTTTTCGCGAATAATGGATTCAAAACTGGCGAGGCTTTTACCTCAATACGGTCAGAAGTTCCTTTCCGGGTCTTTTTTCCGTTTTTTTTTTTCAAATAATCACTTTTTTTGGCGAATTCGGTTTTCTGGAACAAAGAGAGGTTAACGATACTGGAATTTGGTCTGTCCAAGTATGGTTCTGGAGAAAAAAAAAAACGAAAAGCCGGAAATAAAACAGTTTGAAGTTCTTGAGAAACTGTCTCTGGTGATCTCAATCTCCTCCAAAAAGTTGACCAAAGGTTTACCAAACGCCTCATACCCGCCAAAAAGGCAATTTTCGAAAATAAAGATTTTCCGACTATTTCATTTAGAAAAAAACTATAGCAAGACTTGAAAATAATACAGCCTTCAAAATTGGATTTAGATGAAATAAAATTTTGGAAAAAGAAAGCGATATTTTGATGTTTTTGTTTCGGAATGAAAGTTGAGAGTCATATGTTTGGATTCAAGAGAAACGCAAGCGTAGGAAAACACTTAGTATTTAAAAAAAAACGCAAAAAATGGAAACTTTCCAATTCCCGAAAATAGCTTATTGGCCCAGTCATTTTTGGTCTTGGAAGTGACATAACTTTTTCTCTTTGTGAATTATTTGATAAAAGCTATATTTTTGAAATCAGCGGAAAATTCTGAATAAGAAGCACGAACTTCGAAAAAGACAAAATAAGGTTTTTGACTTTTTGAGAACAAAAAAAGCGGCAAAGCAATCAATTCAATAATAAATTGGGTTTTTAAGTTTGTAAGAAAAAAATCAAAGAAAAATTTTCGTGCCATCACCTATTAGGCACTAGAGGCCACATTTTTCCTTCACAGTTTGAAAAAAAAACGATTTTTATTTTCACTAAAAGGACCACTACATATCCATCAGAGCCGAACAAAAGCTGGGGACGCGTGCCGTCGGCAACAACCTCGATAAATTCTCATTTACAAACTGCGGAGCCGCCGTCGTCTCCCCCCTGCTGCTATCATCGTTCACATTCAATCAGCCTCCGAGAACATCGCACCCAATCCTTCAAAACTCGCCTCGCTCTCCTGAAGTGTGATTCGCAGGGCTCCAGAAGCAAGCCTTTTCTACTGAGTTCCCACGGCCATTTGTCGTCTTCTTCGGCGTATTTGCACGGAGGAAAAAAATGTGGGCGGAGTCAAAGCGGAACCGCCTCCTTCTGATATCGCGGTTTAGCTAACGTCTTTATGTTTGAGTTTCAAAGATGTTTTATATTTCTGCAGCTTGCGATTAATTCTGATTTTCTTTTTCTTTTTCTTTTTCTGATTTTTTCGTATTGACGCTTACAGCTCTTATACTTCACCTTGAGAAATTTAATGAACCTAAACTGATATTTTTGTATTTTCTTCTGGATTTTCTATCCATTTTTTAAGTGACTTTTTTGGTGGTATGAAAAAAATTCCAGCGAAACTTCGAACATTAATTTTCCGATTTTTTCATATCGCTAGGCCTAGGGAACTTTTTGACGAATACCTTTCCGACGTTTTTTCTCCATAAATTCTTTGTTTTGAATCTCTATAAAGTAGGTAGTTGACTCATGTTTGAAACACAAAGAAATAGGAAAAAAAAATTGTTAATAGATGTTTTATAAACCGAAAAATATAAGGAAAAAAAGTCGGAGAGCGATTCGTTGGAAAGGTGGCCATCGGAAAGTTCTCTGGCAGTAGGAAAAAATCGGAAAAGTCGCCGCTCGAAAATTCGCTGACTTTTTTTTTCATACCACCTCTTTTTCTTCATGTAAATATTTGTGTTTTCGTTATCTCTGCGATTCGAATGAACTACGGAGAAAAAGATTTTTTTGAGCGTTAAAACTTGATTGTTTTTTTTCTCAATTTGTCAAAACTGTTGTTAGTCTCTTCCCGGACTTGTTGACCTCTTGACATACCCATGTATGTAGAGGAGCCGATTCAATGACTTTTTTATGCTTTCATGGAAAGAAAAATTTTGACACGATGCGATAGGTCACGCATGTTACCACCGCCTGTGCTAATCTCGGCTAATTTGTGATCAACGGACAGGCGTCTAAGCCCGCCGGTCTAAGAATGTCTCAAATCTCGCACCTCTGTGTGGCTAGGCGTGTTCTTCCTGCCTAAGACGATAACAAAACCGTCCGTCTGGCCATTATTCCCCGTTCTCCGACAAATCCTCATTGTTTCCGGACTGGATGCTTCATCTTCCTGCAATTGTACTCGTTTGATTTGATTTGATTATTGATACTTTTTTTTTGGCATAGGAAAAAATATAATCGCGAACAGTAACGCTTTTTTTTCTTACTCAGAAAAATGTTGTTTTTTCTTTTATCTAGTTTAAAACTTCGAGTAAAAAAAAATGAGGAGATCTTCTAATTTCAACAGTCTCGGAAACAGTAGTTGAAGATTCGAAGGATTTTTCAGGATTTTCGTTTTTTCGCCATTCGAACTAGAAGAACTTTTCTAAGCTTTTCAATAAATGAAAAGACTTTATAAACAAAATACATTTATAAGAACATTGCTAAATAAATTTCTACCGGCTCAAGGTCATTAGAAAAAATTTCCAATCGATCAGAATTCCATAAAGTTCAACAGATGACTTGAAAAAACCTTCGTCTGAGCAGCCGACATAAAAGTTCAAACCTATCGGTCCAAAATCTAATCAGGACCAAACTAGCCACTCGAATCAACTCATAAATCTCAAACATGACAAGTCGGAAGTAACTAAGAAAAACGTCGAGATAAGAATCTGTGATGGATGGAAGACGTCCCGCAGTGTGTCCAGTGGTTACGCATGAGCTTACCTTACCCGTCGGTTATCTAACTGGTCCGGTAGCCACGCCTACTCGACTGACCGACCTCCTTAACCTCCTCTTACTACAGCCCCCCGAACTCATAGCTCGTAACATAATTGTCGGTTGTTCCTGCTTTGCTTTTGTATCAGCCAACTCAATATTTTGCTTTTTTCTCTTTCTTCTTCCGTCATCTGAAGTTTTTCACAACATACTCTAAGCCCTAGAAATTAATAAAAAAAGTTATTTTTCAATTTGAACGATTTTTTTCGAATTTGAGCAAAAAGCTCTCTGAGAGGGCTCTCCTAAGTAACTTTTTAACGAGAAACAATTTTTTAATTTGATAAAATTTTTTTGAGCCTCTAAAATCCTTTGGAAAAATTTTTCTGAGGCTTCTAGAGTGTTTTTTTCAGAGATTTTTTTAAAATATTGAGACCTTCGAAATTGCCGTCATCACCGTTTTTTTCCAGCCAAAACCAGTTTATTTCAATTTTATAAGTGTTTCCAATGTCATTTTTTTCAAAAAAACTTTAATTGTTGAACATTCCGTTTACCGCTATGAGACCGTTATAGTCGTTTAATGGGACCGTTAATGTTCCATTTTCGGACAATGTTATAATTTTTAAAAAAATTCTGTACGGGCGAGACTAAAATTCTTATTTTACAATATAAACTTGAACGAATTGTGAATAATACCGAAAACTTTTTAGAGTCCCGAAAAAACAGCTTTTTGAAAAAATTCACGCCTCGCCAAAACGTGAGCCTAGTATCTCCAAATGACAGATAATCAGGTGGAAGACGGCCGCCATCAGCAAACATGGCGGATGAGTAGATATGCCCAAAGATGGGCAATATATCCCCGATCTCGCTTACAGCCAAACGGCCAGCACAAATCGTTCTTTCGGCTCCGATTTACGGCTCTCAGATCAAACCCTCCGTTGATTTTCTGCCTTTGTTTGGGTTTGACCTCATGATTCTTCTATATTGTGCTTTATTATTGTTTAAAAATTATAAAAGGCTTCATTTTTCATTTAAAAAGAAATCAAAATAAAAAAACGAGAAGTTTCGAATTTGAACAAAAACACTGCTCATAACACTGCTGACGAGGTTTTCCACCCTCTTTTCGTCCGTAAGGTTTTTTAAAATTAATTTATTTTTTGATATAAAGTTTTCCGTCTGCAACATGAACCGAATAGCCGATGAGAAGCGCGTGAGAATTTGAACGAGTAAGAAAGTTCACAGTGAATAATATATCTTTTTCATCCTCAAAAGCAAAAAAAAAAACGAGAGGTTTAGTTGAGACAATCCCTCCGAGGGTCATTCAGCAGGAAAACACGTACTTTCCCTTTCCCATAATAGGCTTGGGAGAAGCGCCGAGTTAGTGATAAATGACTTGGAAAAGTTTCACTTTGTTTTTGGCTTCCAGTAACCAAAAAATGATACACTAGCTCATAAATTCGAGAGGAAGTCTAAAAAGTGTTTTTAAAGTTGAGCATGCTTTGAGGCTTCGGAATATTAGGCTATTTTGGAGCTATCATATAAGCTATACTGATATTTCAGTGATAACTTTCACAGCTCTTACTCTCTACTGATAAAAAACTTACACTAAATGAAACCACTTCAATATTTTCTAATTTCTCAGACTCCTTTTTTGGTCTCAAAAACCTTTAAAATCGACCATTTCAATTCATGTTGAGTGTCGTAAAAAACCTACTTTTCACGTCCCATTTGTCCTTTTTTTTTGATCTGCCGCCCCCATTTTATGCGCGCCTTTTTTGGCCTTATGAATGCATGCTGAGATCATTATTTGTGTTCTCTCGCAGTTTCGGGCCATTTAAAAAATAACTTCCGAATAGGTAGAAACTTCAAGGGTTCGATTATTTCAAAAAGCATCAAAAAGCGAGAGTCAATTTTATTCCTTATAAACTTTCTCATAGTTTTGTCAGAAGTCCGATTTTTGACTAAAACTATTTCTTATAAAATTTAATTATGAAAATTTTTTGAAAAGTCCATCCATCTTTCCATCCTTTTTGTTTATTTAATGAATATCTATTTATCAGCATCGTTATCTACAAATTTTATTTGATTCCGAGCTTTTTTCTGAGAATCCTTATACTGTGAAACTTATATCAGAAGTAAAAATCTCCACCTCTTTTTTCATTATTTTGCTTTGTAAATCAATTCTCTTTTCCTTTCTCAAAAATGTTCATCATTCGATCTACATACTATCAATCGAACATTAATTTCAGAGGGAAAAAAAAAATCCGTTCCGGCCACACACACAACCCATGCCAAACCGATGACGTCCGCGCAGGCTTCAGCCTCGACGTCGACGAACGTCATCGTCGTGCGTCGCGACGGCGTCACGGACGTCGTCGACACCTGGCCGCCGTCGCCGGTGAAAAGAAAGACGCCGTCACGGACGGAAAGCCTTATGACGTCGTGTGTACCAACGTTGATTCTCTTCGTTCTGATTTGCATCGTCTTCATCGTTCAACACATCCGAATATCGAACTTGGAACGACGTCTAACCTCTCACGAGTCGCTACTCGCACTTTATGAGGTTGGTTTTTCTCATAAACAGAACAAAAAAACAGAAGATAACGGTAATTGAATAAAAAATTGTTTGTTCATCTTTAAAAAGTTCCATCGTTGTTATCAAAAGCTTTCGTTGCTGTTTCTCTCAATTTCTTGTCACATTGGTTTTTTTTTTTGATTGATGTAGGTAGCGCAAGGGGAGCAGCTGGTTGTGATGATAGTCAAGTTGAGGATCCGATTACCTTTTTGAGGTCGAAGAGGGTGAAGGTGTTGGATGAGCCCAAGAGCTTGAATGTATAAAGAGAAGCACCTGCTTTTTGAATGGTTAATTGTCAAAAGAAACGGTTTAGTGAATGGGAATTTGATCAGAAAGCATTTGAAGCTCCTTTTTTATTGTTAAAATAAGGATTTTTTTATTTCGTTTTTTCAATTTTTTTATGACCAATTTAGAAACAAAGCAATTTAATTATGAAGGGCATCGTTAGTTTATTAACTTCTTGTTGGATTATTAGTACTAATTCGCTTTTTTTAGAATTATTTTTTTCTTCATTTTTGTAATATCTTGATTCAACGTTTCTTTAATGAACTTTTCCCTTTCAAATTCATAGTTTCATTTTTTTTTCGTTATCAATCACTATCAGTTCTTAATATAAAGAAAAACCCTAAAATCACTAAATATTTGCGGAAGACCAGGAGCAGATGACCGCCGCACCCACCTGCGCCGACTCAAGTGCCTCCGTAAACCTCCAGCTGTTTTTGTATGTTTAGGCGAATTCGGGGATATTGGAAAAGTGAGAAAATTTATTAGAATAATGACTTCGAGAATATGGTGAAAAAAGGGATATTGAAATTTTTAAGAGTTCCAGTTTAAGTTGAGAATATTATTTAGAGCTCACTAAAATCAAGAAAAGATCACTTAAGTGAAGACTATAGCCGTCATATTTCAACTTTCTTGATTTCATACTGGACTGATTGAACTGATTGAATTTTAAAAATGAGCTTAAATTCAGTTTGTTTTTTCAAAAGCTTGAAAAATAAAGTTCAATTTTCTCTTGTTCTACCTTGAAAAAACGAAAGTTTCTGAATTTAAACTTCACAAAAGGCCTTTAACTCAAAATTCCAATCATCAATTGATCGATCAGAAAACCCTACAATTAGTTGCGTGTGGCGCAATCGGTTCTATACCGCTCAGTAAAACGGCTTAGGATCAAAAAAGGTGACGATTCCTTTTTTCCTTCTTTTCTTCGCAACCCCGTGATTATCGCACGTTATTGGGACCATTCTTCGACGTGTGACATATGTCTAAATCGGTGTCCCTTTTTTCGTTTGACATTCGCCGATTTTCCAGATTTTGTTGCCAAAAAATAAGATTCGATGATTTTCAATATCAGAAACTGAGAAAATGACATTTAAATAACATAAAAAGCAGATGAACTTCGCTAGGAGAAAGAATAAAAAATTATGAATTAGCTGGCTTAGTTAATAAATTTTCTCGAAATTTCACTACGGACTTCACTAAGTTCAAACGTGAGGTCAAAACTCAAATCTGGACCCTACAGTAACCAAATCGCAAACCTGTCGCGCTTGAGAAAACACCCAAAAAAAGAGAAGTCCTTGAAAAAGGTAAACTGATTCGTTTTGACCCAAAGCGGGCAGATTTTAACGAGAGGACGTCGAAATTCGCCGTGACGGCGCTGGGAATTCTCTAATTATAAATCGTCTTGAGTCAATTCTTTTCCCAGAAGGAAAGTTCATAATGGAATTTTTTGAGCGACTTCATGAACTGTCTGAACTCCAAAAGACTTTTCTGCGCCTCTCTAAACGCAATATCAATAATCTTCGGTACTTCCGATCCCATTGTAAGGGAACATTGGTCGGTCGTAACTCAACTGAAAAAAAGGACGAGAAAAAGACATTGAAAAAGAGGAGATCCACTTGATGGTCGGCGGAGATAAAAAGAGCAGTTGGCCATTTAGAAAAGAAGAGCAAATTGCGTTTTTTGCGAGACTTCTTTTCCTTCGACAACTGTTTCACATGGCCAAACGATGCAATCATTATTCATTCCGAGCCTAACGGCCGTATTTCATGGGTCCTTGGTTTACTTCCAGCAGAAGTAGATGCGTGAAAGGACGGGGAGAGTTTCCATAGTTTCGTTGTTTTACGACTGGGAAAATGGGTTTTTTCTTCCTAGTTCAAAGAGAATCGGCTGTTAAGATTTCTGGTCGAAAAAAAATCTTTTAATATCAGGAAGTATCTTTCCTAAGATAATTTTTACAAAGTTAATAATTTTAGGGTTGAAATTTCTCAATGCAAGACAAGAAAAATCTTATTTGAGAGTTCACAGGCAAACCTAGGAGTTTCAGCCTTTTTGGCTCGGGATCGCCTATATTTAAACTTCAGAACTTTTTGCCACTCAAACCATAATTTATTTTTTCTCTCTTAGCCTTTTTTTCCATCTTTTTCTAACTCCCAGCCTGAGCCTGAGCACCACCAACAACAGTTGCGATCGTAAATTAGCGACGTGAGATTTACGAGTGGCTGCAGCTGTAGCGAAAAAGTGAAGAACGCGCTTTGGAAAGAACTTTTGAAAGAATCATTCATTTGGAGCGGAAAAATTGTATTTTCTGAATTAAAAGCGAAAAAATAACACGAATAGGTAGCCTGTGATCAGTTTCCATATATTTTCAGAAAAATAATAAATTCGAACGTCTATTTCTGTTAAATAACGGCAGTGAATAAACTATTATTATATTTCGCTAATCAAGCTAATTTTTTTATTGATGGTATTGCATAACCTTCAAATTCGTTCTGAGATTTGTAAATTTCGCTTTTTAATTCTTACTAGCTTCCATCCAACCAAAGAGTCCACTTAACTCATTCCAAACCCATTTTCTTACCACTAAAAAAAATCGTACATCTCCTTTATTTGATGTGATCATAATCCTAATGAAGTTATCGATTTCAAGATGCCACTGGAAGCGTCCAACACATCGAGACCAGAGTCGAAGCGACGGAAAACACGGCACGTCGACTGTAATTGTCCTCCAGGTATCATTTAGTTCCTCTCATTTTTTTTTGAACGTTACGGTAGCTTGTTGAAGTGCAAGCACACCAGAAAATGCAAATATTCAAGCAATGGGTGGACATTCTTCACACACACACACACATACATAGTATTTACCTTTTTCTGTTTGTGGGAGGTGCCAACAATGGCTGTAAACTTCCATTCGGATGTAATGGCCGGCTGTCAAAGTTTTCGGCGACGGCCAAGGCGACGAAAAACTTCGCAGGCGTATATATTTCAAGACAGTCTTAGAGAAGGGACATTTCGTTATTTTAAAGCTTTTCAAAAGCTTGAAAATAAACTGACCATTGCGCCGGTCAGTAGACAACATGTGTGGCCGAGTCGGCTGTCATAACTTTTGACGGACACCCACCGCATTAGACATGTGTAAGACATCCGAACTGACAATGCGACAAGGTTTCTGAAGTCTTTTGACAAATCACCGCGGGGCTTTTTCAAACTTCAGGTTAAAAACTTTGAATATATGCTTTCATCTGTTAGTGAAAACTTTAACTTTAAATCTCATGCCAGATAATTTAAAAATAGCCCGGGTGAAATTAAATCCGAAAGAAAATTAGAAAATTTACACGCAATGCTTGTTGATGAGCGGTTGATAAAAGTATGCCCGTGACCTTATATACAGCGTCTAGTTCAAAGAAAGTAAATTTTCAAGCATAGATGCCTTATAACACTATGAAATTTTGAATGATGTTTCTCCTTTTAAATCAATTGACAGTTTATTCGATAGTTTAAGATAGTAACGAAGTTCATCCCATAGAAATGTTTGTGCTTCCGAGCTAAGGTTGTGTGCAGAAAAGCATCGATCAATTTCTACGTAGATGCACCGGGGTTGACGCTTGTTAATCAATCAAAGATTTCCGCTCGGTGTGCTCTGAGATTCGTTGAGCAACGTTCCATTTCTACCTGAGGGAACCTTCTTATTAGACGTGAAGTTTAAGGGAAAGAATAGTTCAAAATGTAGAACCAAATACAAAACATGGAAATTTTACAAAAAAAAATATATACTCGGACCTCGGTGTAACGGCCCGTCAGCTTATCGCCCCCTGTCCATTGCCCAAGCTTCTGCAGAAGCATCAAAAATGAACCCACAATCTTAACTATACCGATTCACCAAAAAAGAGGTACTTTTCAGGTGCGCCAGGCGACCGAGGACCTGTCGGCCCGCCGGTGAGTTTGTTTTGAATTTAGAAGTCTAGTTATGAAAAATTCGTGGATTTCCAGGGACTTAGAGGAATGAATGGATGGCCTGTACGTAAAATTTCATCATAAAATGATTTTTTTTTTGAAGACTCAAAATTTTTGACTTTAAGCACTTTTTGTTGTCTTTCACACCTTTTTCCTCTTACGTGTTGTGATCTTTCAGGGTTTACCAGGTCTTCCAGCACCCTACTATCGTCGGCCGAGGCTACCAAACACCCAATTTGTTCGTGAAGTTTTTATGATTGATTTTGATACCTATTGGGATTACAATTTTCGATTGAAAACACTTACTATCGAAGATCAAGTTTCCGTTCAAAGTGATTTCGCAAAAATGAACTCACTCTCCAAATTTTAGTTTTCTTTTTCCCTCTCTGATGGTCATTTTTCTTCCGCCAAAATTACTTTGAAAGCTCAATGGGCAATCGGTATCAAAATAAAAAATTTCCCCCATCCTATCCTGAAAGTGATAGTGGTTGTGATCTTTTCAGACAATGGACTCAAAAATGAGCCGAAAATTACGCGCATTTGGGATGCTTTATTCACCGGATGGCCAGTCAATTCAACTACGTGGAATGCCTGGGCCTCCAGGACCGCCGGTACAACTCCTATTTTTTCATTCAACTATTGTTCTCGAATAATCACGGGCTGCTCCGGAATGATCTCGCTTCCCAAACTTAGTTGCATTAGCTTGTTATTCCTACCCTATGCTTAGTTCTTGTGGTGAATGCTGAATATTTTGTTTCAAACCTTTTTTCTGTACTTCAAAACGTACAATTTTAAAAAAAAAATATCTAATTTTTTCCAAAGATGAAGGGGCGAAAGGAAAAAAAAAGACTTGTGGGAAAATTCTAGAATCCCGGCGGATCGCCCGCCAGTGTCTAGGAACTCAAAATTTCGAAGCTTTTATTATTATTTTTTGTGTTTTCGAATGCCATTTTTGCGCTTTGCAGGGTCCGAAGGGTCTACGCGGCTATCCAGGCTTTCCGGTGTGCTTTTTTATCATTTCTTTTCTTCAAATCCAAATTTTACCGATGTAACACGAAAACGCACGAAAATGCACGTTTTTTTTTTCTAAGCTCGAGTGAAAGATATTGGGCGTTTCAGACATATTTTGTCAAAACCATTGAGACAGTTCAATTTTTGGTTCTCTCCATTTTTTTAATGTTTGAAACGCCCAGTCGCACCAATCCATTGTGTCGTGTCGCATTTCTGTTCGAAGATAATATTCAACAGTCACATGTTCAGGGGCCGATCGGATTGGATGGTCCACGAGGCTTGCCGGTATGTGTTTCACTGCCTTTCACTACGTTATCGATCATACCTTTTTCGAATAGTTTTGTTTTGAACTTTTTTAAAAAATAAAAAAAACTCTTTTGAAAAAACAAAAAAAAAACAAAAATGCACCGCTATCGCCTGTTAATGCACCTTCGTTATATAAATGAAAATAGATGCAAGTTTGTATCTATTTTTAAAGTTTGCAAGTAGTTGAACAATTTCAATAACTTTTAAGGGAAATCCTGGACCAAAAGGAGAAAGAGGAGATCGAGGGCCGATCGGTCCGCCCGGTTACCCGGGACCGAAGGGCGATCGCGGCGGCGGCATAATACAACAGCCTCATGTAAATTTTTCTAAACCAAAGTGGAATACTAGGAATTTTAGAACAATAATTGTTTTTCTCTCATAAAGACTTTAAAAAAGCAAAATTTGCAGCCAGCCATGTTGCCTCCACAGCTGGCACAGGGCCAAATTCTTCAAGGACCACCCGGGCCACCAGGGCCGCCAGGCCAACCCGGAAGAGACGGCCGGCCTGGAGTCAAAGGCGATCGAGGCCTTCCTGGTTTCGATGGAGAATCAAAAGTGTGTTCAATCCAGTTTTGCAAGTTCGAAAGTTCTTCAGATTGGACCAAAAGGCGATCCAGGATCGCCAGGAAGAGATGGAATACCAGGAAACCGTGGTCCGCCAGGGGAACGAGGCGAAAAAGTTAGTTTTGTTTTGAATTTCTCTTCTGAATCTCATAATGCTTTTTTTTCTTCGTTTATTAAAGTTTGTGCCGTGATTTGTACTTTTCGGGATGAATTCCAGGGCGAATGTATTGTCAGGCATGACAAGCGTCATCATGGTCACAAAGAACCTGGAGTTCAGGGTGCGCCAGGCCTTCCAGGGCCACCAGGACCACCAGGACCTGCCGGCAGGACTGTCATCGGACCACCTGTATGTTGTGGTGTCTAGCTTTCAAGTCGTGGAAAACTTTTTTCTTAGCATGTTAAAAGATGAGAACTAGTCACCTTTTGGCTTTTTTCCCAATCAATATCCGGGCTTTGAATCGAAAGTTGTATAAGTTCAAGTCGATAGTTTATAAGTGCGACTCAGAAATCAGAAAAAAAAGCAGTAAATCGAAAGATATCTCCGGTTTTTGAGTCTATTCATCAGAAAACGGGTCCTGCACATATCGAAAAAACCATAGTCGTACGATTTACGGCGCCCACCCTGGTCTTTCTTCCCCGCATTTTCTTCAACTACCAAGAACGCCGTGTACATGGGTTAAAAACTCAGAAGAATAATTTTTTATTCTGTAATTTCATTCGTTTGCTCAGTCTTGAGTCTTCCAGGGCGAAAAAGGCGATCGCGGTGAGCGCGGCTATCCTGGCGAAAGAGGCCAGCCAGGTGCGGCTGGAGCTTCAAACCTTCTCAGTGGCGGCAAAACGTTGGTCGGTCCTCCAGGTCCTCCAGGAAGAGATGGCCGGCCTGGCGAGAAAGGCGAAAAGGTGCGGTTGGTTATAGGGTGTCTTTCAGGGACTTGCAGTTCTCTTCTCCGATATAGCTTCTCAAGTTCTACCATTCCTGAAACTTCTCATTGTCATTTGATAATCGAAAGAGTACACTTTACCATTTTCATTTAAAAAATCAGGGGAATTGCCAAGTCCCTGACGTCTTTTGATCACTCACAATGTCCAGAGTGCTTTTGTGTGCTGAGCACTAACGTTTGGGATTTCTGTTGCAGGGTGAAGCTGGTCGACGCGGAGAAGTTGGACCTCCCGGGAAAGAAGGAGCCGTCGGCAAGAAAGGACGTCGAGTACGATTTATAGAAAAAATAATTATGCAAAAAATCATGATTTCCTTTGTTATCTGTTCTATCTGCATGTTAGCGTTGCCGTGGTGTATTCGACAAAATTAAAAAAAAAAAACTAGTTTGATAATTTTCTTAATAATTTAAATTCTATAACTTCCAACAGACATTTCGATTGAAATTTTGAAGAAATTACGAAAAAGCTTCTTTAGTTAGAAAATATATTTGATATTGCATGATCCCAGTCTCCCATTAGACAGCATGCCCACAATCTGTTCTATTTTTAAGGGTCGCCATGGAATTTCAATCATTTCTACAAACGGAACAATCAACAACGACGTGCTCAAACTTCTCACTAAAGAACTTGTCCCGATATTCGCCAATGAGCTGAAGGAACTCCATGGAAAGAAGCTCATTCCTGGACCGCCAGGACCAGTTGGACCGAGGGTGATTGGAAGTTTCTAGGTGTAGAGAATCGTTTTGATAAGAGTCAGGAGACTAGGTGGAGGTTTGTAGAACACGGTTGGTTTCCAAAGTAAAGTTTTTTCAGGAAACGTTTGCCATTTGTAGTTATGCTTAACTCATTTTAGGGCTTTATAAACGTTTTTTAAAAGCTTTCGTTTTCTGATTGTTTTTTTCTTAAATGAATTTCCAGGGCCACACCGGGCCAGCCGGACCGACGGGGCAACGAGGACCACAAGGACTTCCTGGCCACGCAGGCGAGAAAGGAGACCGAGGCGACATCGGACCCCCAGGCCTACCTGGGCAGCCGGTTCGTTTTTAGATTTAAAAAATGACATTTTTCCAAAACATGGTTGTTCAGGGACAAGCCGTCGAATCGCAAGGAACTTCTGCTACCTCTGTTGCTGGTCCGAGAGGTCCACCAGGCCTTCCAGGGCCGCCTGGAGAGAAAGGGGATCTGGGACCGCCAGGATTACCTGGACAACCAGGATCGCTGGGCCTGCCTGTAATATTTCGGACTGTTAGGAAATCTTGATTTTGAAAGCTTTTAGGGACCGCCTGGACCAATGGGTCTACGTGGCGGCTCTGGCGCCGATGGTAAACCTGTGAGTTTGAGTTTTATGTGAGGTCCCAGCATGATTATAAGTGTTTTTTTTTCCTGTGAAATCTTTTCTATCTGAAATCGAGCTTTTTGAAAACATCAATTAATAAAAATTAATAATTTTAGGGAAAACAAGGGCCGGAAGGACCTCCGGGAAAGCCGGGGCCGATTGGACCGACAGGCCTTGACGGTCAACCGGGACTGGACGGTCGACCTGGACAGCCTGGCGAGAAAGGCGATCAGGTTAAATTGGAAAAAAAAAGGATGGAATCATAGAGATACTGTGCTTCGTTTAGTAACTCCAGAGTGGTCCCTATAGGGGCAGCCTTAGATTTCTTAGAGGGCCCTTCCGGGACCACACCACTAACCCCTTTAGAGGCCCCTAAAGCTCTCCAAAGTGGTTCCGATAGGAATTTCAGTTAGTAGCCCCTCTAGGGGACATTTCGGGATCTTTTCCCATAGATTCCGTAGCGAATTCCCTTCTGCCTTTGTTAAGCTTAATAAATTTTCAATTTCGATTTTCAGGGAATTCCTGGCTTGGATGCTCCTTGTCCAACTGGACCTGATGGTCTACCATTGCCTTATTGTTCTTGGAAGCCGATGGATGTGGGTTTTGAGGCATATAATCATCTTCAAAATTTGAAAGCAACTAATTCTCCATCATTTTTCGAATAATTCAAAAGGAAAAAATTACAGAGCAACGTTCGAATAAACTACGGGTAAGAGAATTCGAATAAATCAACCAATTAACATGGATTTCCTTAATCTGGTCGATCATCATTCGTTTAACACTGATTTCCTATGTCTTCCATTTCGGTTGTATTCATAAAAGCGTTTGAAAGAAGCCAAGTTTGCATTTGGCTTGAGATAAACGCTTAGATTACCCCTTTTGCCCTTTCCTCACCAAAGTGCTTCCTTAACAAGAAAATTATTTCTGAAACTTCCGAAAGTGATGAATTTTCCAGGGCAAAAGCGACACCTGGGAGCGGAGAAAGCGGTCTTCAATACCAAGAGATAGGCCGTCTGAGGCGGGCTGAAAAAATGGCCTCGTAAGCGTTTCGTTTTTTTTTGTAAAACTTTTGTTTTTAAGCTTTTTTTACCCTGAAAAATTTTTGTTCATTTTCCAAGTTTGACTTGTTGAAATCCTGTGTATTTTTTGCATCAAGATCTCTAAATTCTCCATTTCAGCTCATATTGCTATTTTCCTTGTTCTTTGTTGCCTTATACGTTTTCCCTTTGCAAATTTGATTCTAATCACTGCCAGAAAACTTTTTTTTATTCAGATGCGCTTTCCAATTTACAGTTTTTCATGAAAACTCAGTTTGCTCTTAAATTCCTTAAGCCTGGTGTCTCACTTCACTATATTTTATCTACATCAATATTTTCCGAAATCCCCTTATGATTTAAATAATCTTATCCAAACGATACGTAACGGTTATGTTGATTTCCGAAAAATGAACGATAATGCCGAAACCATTTTGCTTTGAAATTAATAACCTCCAGCCAAATTACAAACATTTATAATGCAAAAGTAGTAAGTGAAGAAAAAATATGAAAAAAAAACCCTTCAAAAAGGTGATGATACAATTAAAACTGAAAAGTTTTTTGTTTCAATGGATTGAAGCTAACCTGTATTCGAATTGGACTAGCCGCATCACATGGGCAAAGATTCGTGACATAATCTTGTTTCTTTCTAGAAACAAAATACGCCCTGAATCTCAATGGTTTGTATTGGAAGAAAAAAAAGGAACACTATTCAGAGAATTCGACCAGCACGATTCCCATACATAATATACACTGAAATACAAGAAAAACACGAAAAATTAGTTCAAGGCAGCCCATAGGAGGTTACATGTTCTGTAAAAATGGAAGTGCTGCGGTTCGAAAAAAAAATCCCTGAAAAATGACAAAATAAAATTAATGATAGAATATTTGGAAAATGAGATCAATGAAATTATCGAATCGCAATCTACCATTGGGTTGAGATCAGTGAAATTTGAAGATTTTGATGTTTCTTGAATTTTTGACGTTAAATTGAGAGAAAAATAAGAACTCTGAGCAGAAAAAAAATTCCAAAAACAGCGAAAACCAGTGCAAACCAGTACAAATACAAGAATTTGATTGATGAAAAGTAATTCCAAAAGTGAAAATGAAACATTTGTGAACACGAGTGAGGTATAAACAAAAGTCAATGATGCCGGCACAAAGTTTGTTGCGTGTGAGGTACATAGAATAAGAGAAATACAAGAACATATAACAAAGTAGAATCAAAAATCAGTTTTTTTTTTAACAAAATGAAAAATCAGTTAGCCAACAAGGGAGTAAGGTGCTGTCTCTTCTGGACGTCCCTGACGACGACTTCGACCTCCTCATCGGTCGGCTCGATGTTCTTGGCGTCTTCGTCAAACGCCTTGGTCGTCGCCGGCGGCAGCAGCTTCAAATGCAAGTTGTGCATGGTGTCCAACTCCTCGGCTTGAAGGTGTTGACACCAGCCGTTCTTTGAGTCGCACTTGTCCGCGGAAACGCCGCAATCCCGATGAATCTTTTTGAACTGCACCCGCTCAATTTTCGTCCGTATCTGAAGGGCAGAAAGACGGGCAGTTGGATTTGGCTCCCAGCAGGCGCAGCAAAGCTCGTAGATCGCGCGGAACTCCTGAAAAGGTCAATGAAAAAGTCTTGCAATTCATATCCAAAACTTTTGAAGGTAATTTGTTTGAAAATTTTTAGGAAACTTTTGAGATGCGCTTTATGCAGATTTTCCAGCTGGTTTGAATGTCAAATCATAGTGAAATTTGGACATTAAAACTATATGGAGAGTTTTTTTTTTTCTAAAACTTCTGGCTGAGGTTTTCAAGTGAGAGAGCATAATCTGACCCCGAAGCCCTTAAAGCAAGTAATTTTTTTTTCAGATTCCACTGTTTTAATAAAAAAAAAGTCAAGATTGATCAGTTCATCATCGGTTGATATTTTTTTCATTCCAATAACGTTCATTGACTTTTTCTCCTTCAAATCCTTTTACTCTAACAAAAAAAGTGACCAGCATCAATATATATAGGGCTTCCTAACTGAACCCCCCACTTTCTTGCTCTATAACGTATCATCCAAATGTTTTCTTTCTCAGGCTTCGAAAACATCTCGTTGAAAAGGATTTCCTGACTCAATTCTTCGAGATCTCGAAAAAACTCTCTCACCGGCTCTTTCAACCAGCGCTTATGGAACGTGGGTCTCAGTCTTTTGACGTGAACCACTTCGCGCATGATGTCCAGCGTCGGGTCTCTGCCAACGACTCCATAATAGGCGATCATCTTTTCCGGCTCAGCGGGCAGAACTGCAATCAATCGACATAACCAGATCATCTTTAAAACAAACAAAAAATCACCTTCATTGTGACAAGTTCTCTGCAAGATCTCGTACATGACCAAAGAAAACGCGTAGATGTCGGCCATCAAGTACGTGTCAAAAATGTTGTTTTGAACCGTGTTGCTCAATAATTCCGGCGCAAGGTAACGCTGAAAATATCAGATTTCGATACGAAAGACCTCGTCAGCTTCACAATTCGCTTCTTTCTCTACTTTTCTCTACTCAAAGGGAGATAATTTTACTTTGCCGTTTAGAATCGCTCAAAAACTATTCGAATGTCTAGATGAAGATCCCTCAGAGTCGCGAGTTCATTTTTCGAAAATGCGAAATATAATTTTTAGGATAATCGTCTCAAAAACTGGAAGCTGGCACTTTGATGGATCCTTATATAAACCTTGTTTAAGAAAATTTGTAGAGAAATCCAAACCGCAAAGTCAAATTATCTCCTTGCGGGATCTAAATTTGTTTTCAACGTGAACTTTAAAAATTGATATCTCAAAAACTAGAATTTTGCGCAGGTAGCGACTATGAGGGCTCTATATCTAACCATTCAGAGAGATTTTAAGCGAGCTTGTAGAAAAATCCAACTCGAAAAGTAAAATGACTTCCCGTGTTAGGTCGTCGAATGAAAACTTTACTTACTCACTTAAAAAATCCTTCAAAAGACCTAAAGACCTTGTTGAATGGGTTATTCAGAAAAAGGAAAACTGGTTGAAAAAAGATCAAATAAAGTATGAAATCTGGAAAATCAACATAAAAAAAGGAGAAAGGAAAAAAAAAGCTCTTGAGAGATATCACACAGTCTGAGACTCAAATAGAAAAAGAACATTCCACTTCGAAATGAACGTCTATTTCCGATTGATACTCACCACAGTGCCGCCCTTCTCATTGGGAGGTCCCTGGATTCGGCCACTACTGTGATCAAAAGTGACAGCGAGACCCAAGTCTCCAATTGCACACGTCAGGTCGTACCTCACCATTATATTTTTGAGCTTGAGGTCACGGTGTGCAATTGCGGGCTTCACCGTTTCGGGATAAACTGAAATTTTCTTACGAATTAAAATATTAAATCTTTTACAAGACATGCTGGAAAATTCGATCGGTTCGGTCGCTTTTTTGCCCCTTTTTTCAAGTTTTTCAAATTTCAAAAAGTTTTTTTGGGCTTTATCGAGGTTTCGAAATACGTATTCCTTCCTAATTTGATCAGTTGCGAAGTTATTTTTCGAAAACTCTGGTTCAAACAAAAATTTACAAAAGATCACTATTTTTTGTTGAATTTTACTATTTTTTTTTACAAAAAATGCTCTCAAATCAATGAAAACTATTTCGCACTCAACTTTTTTCAATTTCAGGTCAAGTTTGAAAAGTTGACATAAAATTTATTGAAAAAAAATAAACACGAAATCTCCTATTTTTGCTCCGCCAATATTTTGTTTGTCGAAACTTATGAACTGACCAAAATCGAGAATTTTACGCATTTTGAAGACTTTTTAGAACAAAAAAATTAAAATTTCCAAAAAAATGCACTTTTTATAATATTTATTTTTCCTTACTAATAAAAAAAGTCCGTAAACAGCTAATCCTTTATGAAATATCTTTTTCTTACAAAAAAATAAAATGATAATAAATCAAATCACCCCTCATTCCAGCGACGCCCGTGTGAAGGAACGACAATCCATTAATCGTTGATCTCAGCATGATGAACGCCGTTCGCAAATCGATTGGCTTCAAATTCAACTTGAACCATTATTTTCGAAACAGAAAAACCAACCCTTTTGCTCAAGAAATCGTACAGAGATCCAAGATTGTGATATTCCGTTACCAACCAAAGTCGAGTTTGCAGACCTTCGTCTGAGAAAAAAAAAACACTTTTTTTATTAGGAGTAAAAATTGAAAATTACCATGCCGATCGCTACCAATGAATCTCAAGACGTTAGGATGCCGCAACATATTCGTCTGAATCCAGATTTTCGTCAAGAAAAAGGTTATATTTCTAAACCTGATAGATGCCAACTTCTCTCGCCCAAGAATATTCATCGGAAGACTTGAAAATCTTCACAGCCACTTCTTCACCTTTCCAAATGCCGATGTGAACCTTGAAAAAAAGAAATTTTTGTTTTCCAAGGAGGTGTTCAAAAATGCGTTTACACTAGGGCGAAGTCGGAATATTGGATAATGGCCGCCAAAAGAAGAGGCTTAAAAAAGCCGCAAAAAGACAGCAAAAAAGCCCTCCATCCTTTCCAGAATTTTAAAAGCTCAAAGAATGTTGGAAAGAGGAGAGGCAGCAAAAATGGTGCATAAGAGCCCTTGAAATGGCCCAAAAAGATGCAAAAAAAGGAACCTCTGTCACCCTAAAAGGAACATTTCTCTGAAGATTTTTTCGACTTTGCCTATGGAACTATAGAAAAAAGCGAGGTGCAAGTTTGAAAAATAAACCTCTCCAAAACGTCCAGCTCCAACTATTCGAAGAAGTTTGATTTGCAGAGCTATCGTTTTCTCCGTCAGTTGCGTGGGGCCTAAGAAGTAGAGAAATTTTTCCTATCGATCTACTTTTTCAATTACCCGCTGACCCAGATCCAAAACCAGATCCGGTTGTGTCCAACATGACGCGGATTTTTTCGGGATCTTGGTTTTCCTGCGGCGAGAAAACGTCGTTGTTGTGGCAGTTGCAGAATGTGGGAGGGAAGTCGCTACTCGGCACCGAGCAAATGCTTAATTGCCAACAATTAGACGATTTACAAGTAAAAACTTTGAGATTGTTTTTGTTAAATCAATATATTTCTCCGTCTTCCCATACTATCTAGTGAATTTGAGAAAAAAAAGCAATAATAAACGGCTAATGCTCTTATTCCGCTCATTGATTCAACTCTCGACTTTTTTTTACAACAAAATTTGGGAACCTGGCAGATTTGGTTCCCGTCGTGGCGGTTCCAGCGATTTTGTTGAGTTCGGTGGAATCGGAATGATCGTCTTCAGTGGCCAGAGGCATACCGAAAACCTTCACGAAGAACAACCGAAGGAGCGGCTCACGGTGAATCACGGCGGCTGCCGAAACCGCTATCTGAGTTTCAAAAATAACTTTTTTTTTCCCTCTCTGACGGCTGTTTTTGATTTCGCAGGATAACTAACGAAGAAAAACAAATGTCAATTAACCATTAATACCTTATTTAATTTCCTTTTTATCTTCAAAATTTACCAGGAGCAAAAAAACAATAGTCCGCTAACGTATAACCATCCGCTGGGCCCCAGGTTCTGAAAAAAAAAAACAAAGATTTATAAATTTTTACGACTTTGTCTCTGAAACCTGTGGCAAGATGGTTTCATTGGCGCAAAAATGTCGTCCTGCACAGCAAAGTTTAACGGAATCTGTTGTGTTCTTACAGAACGGATCGCCTCGTTCCAAAGGATGATCCATATCGATTTCGTATTTGTCTACGCAGCTATAAATAGAAAGATATGGAGATTATGAATATTTGATTCCAAACAGCCAACAGTACAAAAAAAAATTTAAAAGGTCCCTGAAAATCTCACCCGTAGCCACGAATAGAATGACGCACGTTGGCGATCGACTGGTAGCAAAAACCGTCAGTTAAGCACATACCCTAAAAAGGAAGGATGAAACTATTTCACTCCCTAAAAGCCAAACCCGCCAAAGCTCTAAATCTGTGCCGTTGAATATTCCAGGAAACGCGATTGGCATGAATCCATGAGAGCTCCCGGAGCACCCATTATCCACCGAACACTTGCAAAATGTCAACTTTGACCAGTTTCGGAGATTGTGAGTGACTGAAAGATTTTTTTTTCCGTATACAGTTTCAATATAACTTGATTATTTTAAATTATGTTGGCATGAAACATTCGCAAACTTCATAATTCTGAATATTCTAGCTTCTCTCAAAAAAAGAAACGAGTACTTTTGAAGGTACGGCGTTTATGGTGTTCAGGGTGTAAACACCGAGACGCATAGTCACATACTCCAAAATTTTTTTTTCCAATTTAAAAATTTGCGATTTTTGAGCTAAAGCTCTTAAGCTTACTTTTCTCTAATTGAATAATATAATTTCAAAATACATTTTAAAAAGCTGAAAAATATATAGCAGCAACCTTGAATGATGAATACTTTTAATTGCTGATTACAAAAAAGACTGTTCTGGAAGTTATCCATAGGAAAAAATACCGAGCAGCTCTCAGAAGAGAAAAAAATTTTGATTTCTAAATTGGTGCCAACAAGCTCCTTAGGATCGATAGATAAAACTGAATAAAACGCGTTGAAAACTGGTAAAAAAAAAGCAAGCAATTTCTAATCGAATGCAACTGAAAGTTCCATTTTGACATATATTCACATCTTATAAAAATTCTCGTTTCATACAGAACTATCTTGCTCGCAAAAACAAGAGATTTATGTATAATTTCTTACCTAGCGATTTTTCATAATTAAAAAAAACCTACTGTTGAAAAAGGCAAGTCTATGTTTTAGCATTTGGACTAAAACCGCAACATGAGCCTCTGTTTCCGGATAGTTCTCCGGGGCCGGGGGCAACTCGTCATTGTAAGCCGAGTTTTCTGAAAACAAATATATCGAATATCCTAGATGATGAATTCCCTTTTTCGTTATCATTCTTTTTTCATTTCGTTGCAGGGACATACCTTTCACATTTATGTACAGCGCGAACACGAGGAGGGCGACGTGCCAACCAGTGAATGGCATATTTTCACTGGTTCCCAATCATTGAGAAAGCGAAATAGTGCGTGACAGCCGGAGAAATTTTTCTGCAAAAAAAGAAAAATCTGACTGATTTGTGTGATCAATGGTGTTGAAGAGAGGACGAAAGAAAGTTTTTTATCAAGTTTACGGAAAGAATTGGCAACCACTTGACCTTTAAACTTTGTTTTTTATTCTTATTTTTTTTTTTTTGACTAGGGAGCCATTTTTGATTCGAGCACAAGAATTTTTCGCAATAGATCTCGTTTTGAGTTAAGGCGCTTTAAAAGCTTAAACTAGCGTTTTTTTGTCCTAATTTGCGTATTTTGCGGACTTTGAAGCTCCATAACTCGGAAACAAGATCGAAAGATCGATTGCGAGATATTTTTTCCTTGTTCTGGGATCAGCGGGGCCTAAAGTACACTCCAGCAAAGTTTCAGCAAAAAGTCAACGGGGGGGAGGGGGTAGAAAATGTTCCCTGGTGAGCAGGTTAATGTTCGATAGTGACACTTGGTATGCAAACACATGAAAAATCAACGAGACCCTTTCGAAAGAGAAAAATATTTTTCGAGAAAAAAATCATTTTTCAAAATATTCTAACTCTCAAATTAATCTTTTTTAAACTTGAAAATTTTAGCTACTCATTTGAGTATACAAGCTTTGACGTTGCTCAAAAAGCGACAATTTTTTTCTAGTTATTGCAAATATAAATTAGAACTGTTGCGCTTTTTTAAATTATCTCTTATACGTTAGTTCCGTTTTTTTTTTTTCAATACTCCACAGGCGTCGGTAAAATAAAATGAAAACATCAATAAACGTAAAGCGCCGTGAATAATATGTTTTAATACATCCAACAAAAAAAATTGTAGCTTTAAGTGGCGCCATTCGCCCTACACAACAAAATCAAATTTATGAGAAGAATCGGCGACACGAAGGTGTTGGAGAAAAGTGACAACGAACCGCCGTTTGAAGAAGTTTGTGGAAAAAAAAAGAACGGATGATTGCTCATTAAACGAGGACACGTTATATTGATAAGCGCCGATTGATAAACTGTTGATGAATGTAGTTTGAGGTTTTTAAAATTAAATTTATATTTGATGGGAAAACGATTTATCAAAACTTTAAGTCAGTATAAACGGAACCAGGACATGTAGAAAGTTATCTGATAATTAAAATAAGGACAAAACACGAACACCTCCGTTATTATGATTTCAAATTGACATCATCTTACGATTAGACTGTCTAACACCATGTTTTTAATTAGTTGAGTATTTTATTAAACATTTTACCGAAAGAAAAAATGAAGAACTAGATAAAATATCAGAGCGAGGGAGAGCCACGCAAGTCTAATTCTTGGAAAACAGCGACTTTGCAATCGTCGCACGGGCACTTTGCAAGGTTTTCGTCGAACGCGCATTTCACGTTTGCAGTTTCTCCCGTTGAGAACTCTTTTTTTACTCTATTTTTAACTTTTTCCTTTTGTTTTCCAGAATTTAGATTTTTCTCTGATCTGATTTATTTCTTCATAATAAAAAGTTTAAAATGAAGCAAAAAAATTTTTTTCTTTTTAAATTTTTTTAAGAAAGAGCGATATAGAGTCGAGGTTTTGAAGAGGTCGAAGTGAGAAGTTTGGAGTATAAGCGATCTTGTCAGTTATGTTGGGTGTAAAGCTAAAACAGATGAGCGGTGTGTCAACGCCATTCATTTTTTAACATGGCGGATTTCGCCAAAATCAGAGATGCTTCACATTACTAAAACATATTTCAGCCATGAAGACGGTTATTATCCCATTGTTGATCGTCGCCCTGGTCAAATGTGGAGAGTTCGACTTCACCGTGGAAGTTCCAGCTGGAAAGTTCCAATGCTTCTTCCAGCCTGTGGACATTAGCAAACACAAAATGTTGGAAGTTGCTTACCAGGTTTAAAAAGAAAGTGAAAGAGTTAAATTTATTTTGTTTTCAAGGTTATTGACGGAGGTGATTTAAATATCAACTTCATGTTGCTCCATGGGGGAAGTGTGATTAAGCAGGACGCAATGAAAACTGATGGAGGGCATCGGTAAATTTGAAATTTTGAGATGCAAAAATTTTTCTTTTCTTTTTCAGCATTGAACTGAACCAGGCCGGGGACTACCAAGTGTGCTTTGACAACACTTTTAGCTATCAAACCCGAAAGGTAAGTAACCTGAACACTTATTAATTTCGTTCGGTCAGCTGAGTTTCCACTGAGAAATCGTAATTTAGACAGGTTAAAAAAAGAGAAAAATAGTCAAACATGAAGCGTAATGCCGTGTTCAAAGTGATTTTCGTGAAATGCAGAATGACCTCCGACTCTTCAAAAATTTAATTATATTTTTCTTTCTCTGAGGGCTATCTTTTTTGTTCCCCGAGAAAGAGTAATGGAGTGAAAATTGAATCCTACGGTAAACTTACAGTTTTTCAGGTGGTTTTCTTCGAAATATTCTTGTTTGACGCCAACGGGAACGTCGATGAGAACGATTTATCAGCAATGGCCAAGACCGATTTGGATTTGCAAAGAAGAATGAACGAACTCGGCATCACCATTGGCGATTTTTCATGTTTGTATTGAAATTTGAAAATGAATCAAAAAAAATACTGAGATTTATTTTTTTAAATGGAAAAAAAGTTTTTTTCAGTTTGAGAACGATTGCCACTCTTTTTTTCTTGAATTGCGAAGTTTTTTTAAATTTTTTTAATATAGTCGATTAGTTTTAGTGAAAACACATTTTTAAATTTTTTTGTGCAATGCAAGATGTTTGTTCATGGGTATTTTCAGCGATGACTTAAAATGCAAACTTTTATTTGAATACTTATTTTTAATCAATTACATTTAACTTTATACCAATGTATTTTTGTATGTAAGAATATTATCATGATGTTTCTAATGGTTCCGATAGAAAGTCGTGGAAAAAGAGATGTAAAGAAATATCATACTCTGATATGAAATTTATTCAATAGATCAAATTGTACTTTGTCCGCTCAAAAGCTTCATTATGAAATCGACTTTTTTTATCTGAGGAAGTGTTTTTTTGTAGTTCTTTTTGTAGTTGAGAAAGCCAGAAACTCGAATTATAGTCAAATAAGCACATGAACATTCTCGAAGAGATTATCGAAAAGGTTTTTAGAACTTTTTTAATATTGTTTATTCATTCTCCCTTGAGAGGAAGTTCGATTAGAGCGGACAGAAATTTAAAATTTGAAATTGGAAAATAAAATTTTCAGGCCTCTGCCAACCGTGTCAAAAACCATCTGAACAAGATTGAATATCACCAGGTTTCATTTTTTTTTTTCTTATGGGTTTCAAGAAAATTAAAATTTAATTTAGGCACTTATGCGAGCATATGAAGCTCGAGATCGGGCGATTATGGGAGCCAATTTTGACCGCGTCACTTTCTGGAGTACTGTCCACACGTTGGTTCTTATCGGAATTGGTGGATTACAGGTTAATTTTTTTTAACTGTTGGAAAAAAAAACTGATTATATCCACGCATGTTTGAGACAGTACTACGACGGCCGGTGGCCGGTCAATATTGCGCAGTCAGTTTTGGAGCCAGGAAATATTTTTATTTTTCTTTCTTTTTTGCAATTTGTTAAGGACCTATTTCTCGAGGTTATAAGGTAAGTTACGTCACAAAAAATACACTTTCATTTTATTATTGAAAAACCTATCCAAACTACCGTAATACGACCGGCCTCCTTAAACAGGCGTGTATCTGCATACTGTAGTTTTAGCGCACAGAACCACTTTTAAAAAGTTCAGTTATCAGCCATGATTTTTGAAAGGAATATCTTTAACGATGAAGCATCTAAACCGTTTTTTTTTTGCCTGGTTACAACTCGATCGATGCAGCTTCAATTTTTTTCAATACCGCGAGTTTCTTCTTTTTTTTTGAAGGCCGTTCTGATCTTGAAGTTACTTTTCAAAAAGAAAATTAAAAAAGAAAGCATTTCATTGAAAATTTTTAGGTTTACATGATCCGCTGCCTCTTCGAAGAAGATTCCAAGGTTGGAAAAGTCCTGCGCAAGGGAAAATTTGATTGATTTGTCCATTTAAATATTTGATGATATATTATTTTTATATTAGCTTTCAAATTTTTTTGAACATTGATATGTGTCTCTTTATGCCTTCTTCCTTTCTAGTGAATTTTCGCCGGTAAATTTCAGAGCGATGATTATAATTCAGTTCAAACATCCATAATAATCATCCAATCATAATTCATGTGGTCCGCTTTCTTGCATATTTATTTTCAATACGGTGGCGTTTTTCGATAATAATTTTTATCAGGGGTTGCACAATTTTATAAATTTATTATCTTGCTTGCTTCTTTGATATTCAATTTTATGTCCTCTTCCTTGTGTGAATACTTGGATTTCGGTGTTTACTTTTTTTGTAGAGCTGTATACTTCAAATACAACTGTTTATAGGTACTTGGCAAAAAACAAAAAAAAATAAGCAAAAAAAAAGTACACGTGAAATTCGATCCTGAGCATAAAGCAACATTTTTGGCTTCAAGACAGTGTTTTGGAATTATTTACTGAGGTACTCGTAGATTCAAATTTTGAATGAAATTTAAAAAAGCTACCGGTAAGATTGAGGTCAATGATTTATAATGCAAATATTCAGAAAACTCGTTTTTTTAAAAAATAATTTTAGGACTTTATTTAGAAATCTTAAGAAGAAGAAAAAGTTAAAGATAGTCTTACAGATAAAATCTTCGTTTGAATTCAAAAATGTCATTGGAAACTTGGCTTGGCCCAAAAATGTTTTTTTTTTTGGTTTTTTTCCTCTTTTCCGCGGCCCTTTAGTAGACAATGAGCGGTCTCAACTTTCAATTTCTCCAGAGTTAAGACTAATTCATAGAATAGCCGCCGCTGTGCTCCCGAGAGTCCAAAGGCTGTCGACAGGGGCTGTTATGGTCGTTTTGAGGTGGAACCAGGAGTCGGACCACTCGGCAGGACCTCACTTCACCAGCTGGCGAGGTTGGCGAGTTTATTATCTGGAAATGAATGTTTAAAGGGGGAAAAGCGGGATAAAAATGGGTTGAAACGCTCTGGAAAATTCAAATCATTGAAATGTACAACGTCACTAACTTTTCTTTTATAAATGACCTTTCAAAGTTATGTTGCAAAAATTTTCACTCAATAACCCACATTTGTGAGAGTTTTATATTTACTTTTTGTTTTTTTTTTTGGATGTTCACAAAGTCTTCAAAAAAATAAAAACCGACGGGGCGCCAATGCGCAAATTAAAAAATTTATGAAAATTCAGAAAAAGGGTTGAAAACAAGCTAGTGAAAAAAGAAAAAAAAAAGGAAAACTCACTTGGAAGGACGCTAATAATGAGCTTATGTTTGCTGCTGGAATCCAAGTGAGCGCAGAAGAAAAATATGGTAACAATAGGGAATAATCGGACACATCCAGATCGCTCGGAAACAAATTTGTGAATCGTCTCTGAAAGTTTGGCAGGGTTTAAAAATAACCAAAGACTAGTGCGTTGAGAACTTGATGAAACTCGGTACTTTAGGACACCCTTAGTCCAATTAAGTTAAAAAAAATGCGCGCTTTTTGCATGGTTAGTCGAGTTATGGAATCTCAAAGTTCGCACGCAAAAGACGCACTGGGAGGGAATGTTTTGCGGTGTCTAACGTCCACTGCCAGCAAGAAGCGTGGTGTAGTGGCTAGAGGCCTTGCGCTGTGGAACTTGTGATGCAAGCTCGATCCCATTTTGGTGAAATTTTTTTTTTTTTTGAAAAACATAGCTTGATTTCGCTTGAGAGGATTCAATTCCGCTCTAAAATTAATTTTTTTTAAATTTTATTCTTAACTTTTTTCGAAGTAATTTTTTTTTCTGTACCTGTATTGGCATCGGAATGAAGTTTATTGAACTCAGAGAGAAATGTAATATCGCGATGTACGCCTGGAATATTAAATTCATTTATTAATTAAACGCTTCTCTTTTCAAACCAAATTGGCTGAACATCCGTGGAGCGTCGTAAACAACAGATCGCTGGCCTTCAAGCCACTTCTCAGTCGAAGCGCAAAGTATGATGTCAAAGAGAACGGTATCAAGAACTCCACGAGGAAACGAAGAGTTTCTGGATAAACTGGCGGTTCCACGGCCGAGTCACAGTCGAAAGTCTCGAAAATCAATGAGTAATTGTCCTCGGGGTTGACTTTTTTGAGTTGAGTAGTCACCTGAACGTGGAATAAAGAGTTTTTGGTCTTCGTTTGAATTTATGAGACTATTTCAATTTTTTCCATGCTCTTAATTTTTTCATTATTAAAAGAACTACGAGCAATGGCGGCTCGAAGACGATCAAAAGTTTGAAAATAAAAATTGTTCTGAAATTATAGAAGCACTTTTTTAAAATTCTCACGAACCTCAGCATTAAGTGCAGCTGGCGCAACTAAAATCACAATCAAGAGAAAAATGAATATGAAGGAAAATTTCGAAGCGAACGCCAACGATATTTTTTGACGAATTGGAGATAGTGCAAGGCTCTGAAATAATATGTATAATTAAAGATTTAGTTTAGAAGACAGCTAAGAAGTAAAAAATTTCAAAAGGTGTGCCAAGAAGGTAAAAGTTTTTTGTTTGAGTTCTCGTCCCATCTCTGTTAACATCACTACAGTTTTTGAACTTGAAAGGAAATATAAAAAGATTTCTAATGGCTGAAACGCTTTTAATCTTTTATTCTTGTTCAACTTTCCTCATTTTTATCGTATTTCTGAATTATGTAAATTGTTTGAACCCACCAAAAGAATGTACAAAAAAGAGATGACATATGGAAGTGTGATTTTCCCAAGAAGCAGAGAGCCTTGATAAATGCGACAAGCTGCCTTCCCAAAAGTCCAATATCGAACCAAAGTTGTCACGATCAGCCAGGGAATCCCTAGGGATACCTGCAAGTTGAAAAGAACAATTTAGTTCAAAATTTAACTTTATAGTAGTTTCGTTATCATATCAAGTGATAAGTTGGAAAAGAAAAAAGAAACTCACAGCAACATTCAAGCCAAAAAATATAGTCAACAAGTGTTGTACAGGATAGCCGTCTCGATGTCGGTGCGTATACAGCTAAAATTTTTTTCAAGTAAATGAGATAAAAAACTTGAAAAAAAATACCTGAAGTACAAATTGGCTGACGTTACCGCATAAAGCCGATGTGAGGCATACTAGGTGAAGAAGTGTCAAAACTAGTTGGGCATCTGAACTGGACGAAAATTATCTTGGGCAGTTTATTAAAAACACGAGTTTTTAGTTATAAATCTAATGGCGAGCTTGATTGATGCTGAAACCATGGTCAGATAGCTTTGAAATGTAAATTTTAAAAAAATTCAAGAGAATCCAAGCTTATAAAATTTAGTTTGAAGCGAACTAGGCTTACTTTTTACGAAGTGGTAAAATTTTTAATGCTATTCAAGGCTTTTTTAGTGAGAAAAACACTCGGAATTTCGTTTTTCTCAAGTAAAATGCCTTTCGAAAGTGAATATAACTTTATTTTACCTGATGGCTGTTGAGTGGGCGGTGGTATCGGCCTGTAGGCGTATTCGTCTGTTTGAATCTCGCCGTGGCTCATTCCTCAAAAAAGAAAAAGAAAATGAGAAATTTTTTCGTATCCGACTCGAAACAGAAATTAAAGAAAAACGAGGATTACCACAGCAAAAAAAAAAAGAAATCTATATACCCGCCTCCTGGTCTAGACTTGCAATTTACAAGCTTTTCACATTCTCAAAGATTCTCCTCTTTCGTTTTTCCTTTTCAATTTTATGAAAATTGCAAAGATGTGTAGAAAAAAAGGAGAACTGATTAAAAAAATATTTTTTTGCGGAAAAGGGAAAAAAACGAACAGAAATTTGATACTCAATCCATGGAAATCGGAGAAGGACAAAGGACGTCCATATAAAGGAATTTATTCAAGACAAATCTAGAAGCACTTGGTTTTAAATACTGTGGATACTTCCTTTAAATATTTAGAATAAATGGCGTGTTTGAGAGAAGAAAACGGAAGATTTCTCAAAATTAAAAGTTTGTTCGTTGGGCTCCCCGAAAATGCTCCAAAATAGTCAAGTTTTCATTTCCGAAGCTCAGTTCCTAGGCTTTTTTTTCAATAAGCACGCCATCAAGAGAAAACTCAAAACCTCATATAATTCCGGCGAGAGGCGGTGTTCATTTACGTTTCGCTTCATATGGAACCGGAAGTTAGATTCGAACTTTTGAAGGCGATCAAATAATCATGCTCCGTTTTTTATAATTTTGAAGGAAGATATACTGAACTTTTTTCAGAATTTTTTTAATGACGATAGGAAACGCAGGTTTTTCAAAAAAATTTCCTTGGATAACAGGAGTTAGATTCAAAATACAGAAAAATGGAAAATTTCGTTAATATTTTAAAAGAGATTTAACCAAAAGAACCAGCCAATTTGAGAACTTCATGGTTTTTCTGATGGCGAGAAAGAAATGAGAACGGTGAAACTTGTTAGGATTAGACTCTTTAGAATTTTTTCACAGACAGGATTATCCATTTGCGTCCATGAATAAATTGAAAAGTTGAGGGAAATAGAGAGGTTGAATGTAATGAGTAATGAAGCTCAAGCTGTTTTTAAGCCTCGGGCAAGTTTTGAATGATGAAACTTTAAAAATAAATTTAATGATTAATTTTTCGCAGCTCTATCAAAGGAACCTGGGAAGTTTTTTTTCAACCTCCTAGTTTTCAAAAACAGCAAAGTCTTGTTACCTTATCGTGGAAAAAGCCGTCATTAGGTCAAAATTATCTACTAACAGCTTTTTTGCATTGCTCCTACTTTTGGAGTTTGAAGTATCAGTTCAGAAAGAGCTTTAATTTATGATCTGCAATTAAAGATGAACATGATTTTTATTTCAAAACACTGATTACCAAGTTTGATCTGCAGAAAAATTAAGTCTATTGTTCGGGTAGCCGACCAAAGCTCTGTTGATAATTATCGCCAATTTACCCCTTTTCAGAGAATTTTTTAAAGATTTTCTGAGGATATTGAAAAAAAGGAATGCAAAGTATTTGCAAAGTTTTGAATAGACTTCTTCTCGTTTGAGCTTAAGCCTTAACCAAAAAAGAAACTTTTTACTAAACGGTTTTTGTGAGAGAAAATGGTTGGGAAATTCGATGAAAAAGTTTGAGAAGGTGAGAAATTAATTCTGAAACTCAATGGTCCGTTTTTTTTTTTGCTCTCTCTTCGGCGAATTGAATAACAATTAAGAAACATGAAATTAGAACGTAAACTTGGAGATTGTCGTCGAGAAAAAGAGAATGCAGAGAAACTCAATTGTTTCAAGTTATGGCAAATGGGTTATAAAATAATTTTACAACTCAATCTTTCAACCTTTTCATTGTAAGTTCAAAAAGGAACCAGAAAAATAAACCTGCCTCTAAATTATTCACTGTTTTGGAAAGTTCCAAAATATATATGAAGACAAAAAATGAGTTTTTTTCAAGTTAATAAAAGGATGGAAAAACAGGTTCAATAGAATATAGAAGTATTTTTCTTTGGATGTTTTTGTAAATTATTCATCAAAAATAGTCTTTGTTGGTTTTAGTTTCCCGTTTTTCTATAGTTACGTATAACCTGGTCTGTAAACAAATCACCTGTTGGAGAAAAATGCCAGTGAAATCACCTGTGTTGCTTGGTTTTCGGAAAAATGAGGAAATTTGAGGCAATTGATAATTGTATCGATGAAAGAGCGTTTTTTTTCGCTTTTTCAGTGATAACACAGAAAGTCGGTTTTGTTTTTTGGGAGGAACTGTTGAGAAATTAAAGTTACCTCCCTAGATATATTGTAAGACATGCAAGGAAATGAGACTTGAAAATTGTTTACCGGAGGATCACTAGATTAGGAAAGATAGATACTACTTCCCGCTTAAGAAAATGTAAATTTCAATTTAAATAATCTATCTAAAATCAGCCAGTTAGAAAAGAAGAATAGCAAGAATGAAAAATAAAGGCGCTTGTTTTGTTTTTCTATGGAGCGCTTTATCTCGTGGAAAAATGAAAGTAGTGGAATTGTTGAAAAATTCATGGAATATATTTTGAGCCCTCTTATAAATGCATTGGCGGGAACGGCTTATAGAAGAAATATAACCGTAGTTTTAATTATGCGGCGTCTCATGCTCAATTAAATTTGATTTCGTGATGGTTGGCTTCGGGGGTTTTTAAAGGAGAATTTTTTTTTTCCTTTTGGTGTGTTTTGTAAGTTTCGAGCTTCATTCTAGTTTGATCCACGGTCCATAAACCAATAAAAATGCAAAATTCAGATATAGGCGTCGGAAGCTACGAATTTTAAGACGGAAAAGCTTCCAAAGTCTTGCTTCGAAAAAAAATGTTGAATTGGAAACGCAAATTTAAAAATTTATTTAAAGTTGAGGAAATAATTTTTTTCTTATCAAAATAGAGATTGGAAAGCACAAAAAAAGCATGTGAGCATCTCAGAATTTTGTCCCTAGAAAAAAATTATTGAGACGAAGTTACTCATCGCTTTGAGAAGAGAGGAGAGATTTTAGAAGGAGCTATAAAAAATCAAAAAACTCGTCTTTATAGTGTTTTCGAACAGATATTCATAATTTTGAAACAGAAAGATAAGGTATCGCGTCTCAACAAAAGTCGGAGGTTTGAAAAAAGAAAAAATAAAGTTAGCGATAGACAGAAAAATGAAAACCAAGTGTGTGAGTCGGATTTATTTTTTTTCAGAATGTGTGAAACTAGAACCAAGGACATTTCTTCTATTTATTTCTGTGGATGATTGTTTTCGGGGAAGAAGGAATTTGCGTCACGAAATAAGGAGATTGTTTTTCAAAGCCTGTATGGATATCTGTAGACGTAGGCAAAAATAAACCGTGATTAAATGGATTAACGAAAAAACCCCTACCGTGAATATATCTGGGATCTTGCGCTATAGATCCCAGATATATTCACGGTAGGGGTTTTTTTCGTAAATTTGGCTTGAAAAAAAAAAACTAAGATCATGAAAATGGGACAATTTAAAAATTTTTGAAAGATTCAAATTTTCAAAATCCCTTACAAATTTAAATGTCGAAACTTTACTATGGCTGGAAAAAGCAGATAAAACACCATTGACAGCAGTTGAAAACCTAATCCCGCGAAGCAGTTTTGCGTATTATGTTGTTCATAGCACAGAAAACACCCTCGGCGAAACGAATTACGTGAACATTAATACTGAGAATAGCTGGAAATTTGAAAATATCAAGCTTCATAATCGAAATTTTGCGAAAATGTTTTGTGTACACGAAATATGAGGACCAGGTCGCAGCGAATGTAACGCTATGCCGCGGGCGATATCGCCCTTTAAAATTTTTTTCAATTTCAAGTTTTCTAAAATTTGGTTTATTTTTTGAAAAAATAAGTCGGAAAAACGCAAAGAAAACTATTTAAATTCAAATATCGGGAGCCAGAAGTTTTGGCGGCCTGTGGCCCGATGAACCTCAACCTGTTGGTCTCAAAGAAATAATTTAACGTTTGCGGAGGAGAAAAGCTGTTTCAATGAATCAGAATTGCACGCAAAACCTTCATTACGAACGTTTCACACACCCGGCTCATTTATAAACCAAGCAGACGTGTTTGCCAATGCTTTCTACGACGGAGAACTTTGCCCTGGTCGAGTTTAAAAAGAAGCATGATAAATTTTTAAAAAAAAGTTCTGCAAAAACTGAGTGGGTTCGATCATTTCGATATTACGAGAAGAGTATTGATTATACAGAGGTTACGATTAATAAGGCGTAAATGCTAGACAGCCGTTTTATATATCTCGGCGGAGAAGCCCTGAAACAACCAGAAACAACGAATTAAAAAGAAGAAAATGAAAAAAAAAACTGAAATGATTTAGTCCAAAAGCCTCGTCTGTGACGCCGACCGGCTTAACAACGACGAGGGAGGATGACCCCAAAGGACCAAAAAAAAAAAGAAAGAAGAACGAGCAAAGTTTATTGCTCGGCAGTGAAAAGCAAGGTTGGTGTTTTGAACAGACTCGGTGGGAATTCAATGAACTTTTTTTTTCGCGCGGAGAAAAGTTCTCAGAAATTATTTACGCCGCGTGAGCTTTACAACTTCAAATCCAATAAGGCTACAAACAATATTCTCATTTTTCTAGGTTTACAGTTAAGCTTGAGAAAGATTGAAAAACCAAACATTTTTCATGCTAGAGTTACACCGTTCGCCGGTAGTTAGGCTTGGGCTTTGGGCCTTATTTCTGAAAAAAAGAATGAGTGGGCCAGGCTTTGAAAAAAAAAAAGAATAAATTTCGAATTTCATTAAAAAATCTTCACTTGTTTTTGTTAAACTCCAAGTGAACAAAAAAGGAAAATTGTGACTTTTTTCGTGAGAAGGCTTGAAATTAAACAAGGCCGATAAGCTGACGGACCGGTAGCTTAGAACAAAAGAAGACAGAGGTCTTTTGAACCTCCTCTCTATTTCTTGCCTTTTTCGTGGCAAGTCATTTCAAATATTTTTTTAAAAGCCAGCTAGTTCAATTTCAAACAGAAACTTTAGGTCGCTGTAACTTATAAGAAGAAGATTCAGCTTGAATCGAGTCAGAAGACTTGTTTTTGGAATTTGTCATTAAGGAATCTTTGTACCAATTGGAGTAAAGTCACAAGAGGAAGAATGAGCATGTTCGCAGGACAAGAGATTTTATCACCGAGAAATCGGGCTTGAAAAACTAGGACTTCTGAGAAAATTTACCAGGAAACTTCTCATATGCGAAATAAAAAAAATATGAGATACAAATTTTGATGGAATGCTTTCTGGATGTGTCACTGGTGAGCTGACCCGTCTACATTAGCGTCTGCGAAAATGATCTTTCGACCAATCTTTTGGTCAAAATTTAACATTTCATCTAAAATATGAAATCTTAACATTTTTTTAAATAATATGACCTTTTTTTTTTTTTTTTTACAATTTGAGCTCTAAGCATTCACCGCGTGTTTGCTCTGTGAAAACCTTAGCAGAAAAGAAGCTTGAGTGGAGTTTTTTTATAATCAGCCATCAAACTTTTTCAGTTATATAATATATCACGTTTCTTATCATTGGTCGGAAAAATTAAAAAAAGAAACGAATTAGATCGGGAAGGCAAGTTTTTTTATAGCGTAAAGTGCAAAGAATAATATATTATTGACGACTAGAAGTCGGTCATGTGAAAATGGTTTTTTTCTTCTTGTTTTTAGCAAAAAAATAAGGGATCTATTTGTAACTCTTTAGGTTTCAATTTATTATCCTCCATTTGAGATTCCTTAGCGTGTTTTCTAAGATTAAACAAGCGTAAACTACGCTGAAAACACTAAGAATGAAAATATCCTGACGAACTAAAAGAAGCCTCAAAATTCAAAAGCTCACGAAGAAAAAAAAAACATTTTGTAGTCGAATACAAATTTTTGGAGAATATTTGGAAAATTTTTATTCTTAGAACACTGGTTTTCAAAAAAAAGAGGGTTAGATACTGCATGATTTTTTTAAGGTTTTTATATAAAAAAGAAATTCTATAATTTAATGAAACTGGAGTTAGCTTTCGATGTTCAAATAACTTGCTTTTCCAGAGAAGAATATTAAAAGAATAGGCCCGAAATGATGACGCTCGATTTGATCTTTTGATTAAAAGAAAATCTTTCATAGGAAGCTGAAACTGATCTGAGTGGTTCGGATGTTTCTTATATGAGTCAAGAAACCTTTCAAAATTGTCGTTGACGTAGAGATAGATTGTCAGACTAGACGTTCTGCATGACGCAGAGTATGGTTTTTTCAGAAAATGAATCAGGAGAAGATACAATTTTCGTTCAAATGTTCTAAGGGGAATAACCTTCGATAAGTTTAGATTGAAAGTGAAAAAAAAAGGTTTTTCATTTTTCCACTCTACAAACCATCATCGCACAGATCAATACTGATTCGATAACCTAGGACTTAAAAGAAGAAAAAAAACTATCGATTAAATATCGGCGTCTTGCATCTTTAATGAAGCAAAAACAAGGAGCTCTGCCAAATAGGAACAAATGAAGTGAATTGCAAGAAAAAAAAATAAGACAATTTACCTAATGGACTGGGGATGCGACGCACATACAAAGCAAACACGTGGTGGAAAAAACCCTATTTCCGTCAAGGAGATAAATTCCTGAGAGACCAAACGATTTCCGTGTGCTTTGTTTTGTTTCGGGTTTAAGCTGTAAACAGAAAGTTTGTGTGTAGTGATTATATATTTTAGCGAACACCTTAAAAAATCGTGGCAGCACGGGGAATGGCTGGACGGCGGTCACTATGACGATGCGCCGGTCCTTGAAGCGATCTACGCGCTTTGGTGGGTCAATTAAAAGTCAGCGACCCTTCGAATGAAAACTTTGAAGCAATATGTTGTAACTCTAAACGTCGAATGAATAAAAATGAAAGACTCTGAGTCAAGTTTTTGGATTCAGCAGAGATTTCAAATGTTTTCAGAGAAGAGACTATCCAGATCGGTCTAACTATCCTCTGAAAAATGATTTAATCCCGTTGGTTTCTTGAATTTTAGACTGAAAATTAATTTTCGGTACGTACATTTATTACAAAGTAACTGTGAATCAAAAAAACTCTTACCAAAGTGTTTTTTTCCCAACAGCCTTCAAGTTGTGACATTTTTTTCGAAATTATATCTATAAGTGAGATTATTCGTGAGAAATAAAAATCAATCTGTACTTAAAACGCGTTTCGAAAACTTTTGAAAAACTAAAAAACTTTCAAAGATCCAATAATGTTCACGGTTTTTGTTGGAATAATTGCTTTACAACGCAAACAAGTTTATTCCGCCTTCTTTTTGGAATGAAATGCCCTGGAGTTTGGTTTCCGTCTAAAATCAAAACAAAAACGTTTCTTTCATAAGAAAAATGATGTGAAGTGAAAGATGAAAAAGTAACACATAGAACGGAAATTGTTTTGCTCTTTTTTGCGGAAGAGGGAATTTTTCCCCCTGAAATGGTTAATCATCAATTTTTCGCCTTCATCACCCTTTTCGTACATTCTCGGGCAAGCAGCCACATAATTTGTTATCATAAATAAATTAGCTATGGAAAATATCAACAAATTGATCAATTTTTGAAGTTTTTGGTTTATAAAAATCAAACAAAAAGCGTTGGAAAGATTAAAAAACTCCTTCCGTTTGGGAAACTCAGAACTTTTCATTTCTACAAAATTGCTAATTTGTTCAGACTGTTCAAGGAGCGAAAGTTCGGAAAAAGAAATAGTAAGACAGCGTGAAAAAGTGTAGACAGCCAGACACCTAGCGCGTCTGTGTTCCTCCATTTTTCACACTTTCCATCGCCTTGGGGAAAAATGAAGTCAGTCAAATTACGAGATGCTTGAAATCTTCACGAGTTTGTTCATGTTTTTCATGAGAAACGGAAAATAGGAAAAGCAAGAGAGAACTCGAAATGAGCCGAAACTTCCATGAGATATTTCCCTGTGTTGTTTTTTGGTTAATTATTCATAAAACCGGCCTTTTTCAGTTGCAAAAGCCGTGAATTAGAAATGAAGATGAGGTGTTTTGCGTGGTTTTCGAGGGCTCTCGCCAACGGAGGAATAATTTATTGTGAACTTCAGTTGGAAATCTCAAGGAGAGAAGCGAAACGTATGTTACCAGTAGAGCGCACATTTCTGACATTTTTCGGCTATTTTTTGCTACATTTTTCTTTGAATCAAAAAGGCAAGATTCGATGGATAGTTCGAACAAGGTTCTTCGATTCGTTGGCCACCTCGCTGATCATCTCAAGATCGCAATCTTGGCAGCAGCTTTCATTTTCAAACACCACCGCAACTCGAGACAACCTGAAAAGTCTCTCGAAAGATTCTTAGATGACTAGCGAAAGCGCCTTGATTACCTGGAGAAATGTCTGCTGACCTGAGCGGCCAGTGTCCGTTTAGATGGGAGAAAAAACGGCAAAAAAACGGCCGCCGCTGCGGACAGCGTATCAGATCAGTTTGAGTTGTTCCTAGGCTTCCAGCTATGCGACTTCTGCTTCTCCTTTTTATGGTCTGTATTAACTTTGATGGTCCTCATACAAACTTTTACTTTGTTGTGAATTGAGCGTTCATTTGGCTCTTTTATTTTCAGTTGAGGGTGTTTATTTGCTAGGCTAGTATGCTCTACACACCACCAGCTTGTCACAAAAAAACAGCCAGTTATCGTTAGAGATAGGAAACTTTTTATTGGATCATTTCCTATTCATCGACCTTTATGACAGAGCTAATGGTCGATTGTATTGGATTAATAGAAAAGTAATGCGTTTCCCATCTTGCTTGCTAAGCCTAAGAGAACTGATTAACCTTGGAAAATGATCGAAAATTCAAAGAAGAATGAAAAAGCAACTATGAGTTTCAGTCGATTTGTCCCGACTCGAAAATCTTCAAAACCTGATTTTAATTTTTGTCCAAGTGCAGATTTTTATCCATTATTTCAATTTTAATCCTCAGAAAGAAGCAGAAGTTCATAAACAGTAAGAGAGTCTGATGTACAGAAATTATGTTTTTAAACCCTATAAAGTTTAATATTAATATCGAGTTTTTTTCACAGTCAAATTTTTTTATAGCCTTATAATTTGCAAAAAGAAGATTTTTGAGAAGTCTCTGTAGTTATTTCTTCAAGCTAGCAGTGAAAGGAATATTAAAAGTTCATTTTTTTCTATTTGACAATCGCCAAATCTCAGGCGAAAGGCGCGAAGGCGTCGGCGTACTTGCAAATCGACAACCATCTTCCTACGAGAACCGGACAGGTATTTTTTATTTTCCTGAAAATTACATGTATTTTTCATGCCTCATGTTCCGATAAACAAAATTTGGTTTTGAAATTGTTAAAATAAAATTTTGGATATTTTTTTCCTGAAAAAACGGAAATTAAGTAAAAATTCACAGCTGAAACGTGCAGTTTGAAGTCCATTTATAACTTTTCCTTTCTCTCCTTCCAATGACCATCTTCAAACGAAAACTTTTCAATTTCCTCGTCAAGAAAACGGTTGCAAATCTGTCGAAACAAACTTGACACAGCCAAATTCAAATAAAAGAACGCGGTGAAAAGACGATGACCTCAAAAGCCGACCGAGAACTACATATCCGTCTACTTTTTTCTCCGTTTCCTTGTCATTTTTTGCCTTTTTCCGTCTTTTTTTTTTCGGCTCGCGTGCCGGTTGTTATCACCTCCCATTGATCTCGACTATTACCTTTTTTGGAATTCCGATGGATGATCCAATCATTTATCAGAGGCCGGGGTCAAACGCAATTTTTAAGATGAGATAGTTATTAAAATTTTGGGCACGGAAGCTTTCCAATTCATACGAGGACTGAACGACTCATAAAAATTCTGGAAAAATTTAAGTGGTCACTTTAGGGCTTTGACGTTTTAGTGGCCTTAGTAGTAGTTGATTTAGTGGACACTTAAGTGACTAACTCTTTATAAAAATTTCTCGGTTATATCACTAAAAAATTTTCTGAGTGTAGAGAAGCGCAACGAAAAAGTTCATCACACGCCTATTAAAATTTTGATTCAAACTCAATGTAGATTGTCGCCTACTCGGTTGGACCGCAAATCGAACCAATTCTGAACAAACCTCGACCTACCTGTCAGTTTGGTGAGATAGAAGACTCAAACTAGAACGAGGTTTTCAAAATTGATTTCTAGACGAGAAGCAATGGCTCCACAAGCTGGATTTCGGAGTTTCCACCTTGAATATGTTCGAAAGACGGACCGGCAGCAGCTGTGAGCAGTGCTTGAGGCATTGTGCGGCAAGACAGGTAGCGACTTTATTATTCCTTTGTTTAGTGTGTATCTACAACGTAGATATCTTCTTGCCAGAAGTTACTGTTGACCTAATAGACTTTCCAATCGCAGTCTTGGGATTTTCTCATTTTTTTTTATGAGACTTGGCCTTGCCACTCGAAGTCTCTACAGTTTTATCCTTTATCAATTAGTTATTTTTTAAATTAATTAATATTGATATCTGGGAACACGTGTATTGTAAGAAGTACACAGCATTTAACTTGTGAAGAGTCGTAAATTTCCTTCAAGGACTACGAGAGAATTCAAATAAGTTGGTAGTAGTTTCTTTTTCAAGTCTTATTGGTCCTTATAGTCTTCATATTCTACGTGGCCTTCTTTAGGCGTTTTTTTGTTAATTTATTATTTTCAAAATTTACAATTTCAGCTTCTCCTTTTCAAAAAAATGTCCTCTCAAATTTAAAGGAAATTACAGGGAGGCAAGTTTTCCTGTCGATCGATTGTTTTCGACCAAAAATGGATGGTGAGTAACCTGGGAGAATTTTTCAATAGGCAGTTTTTTCAGGTTTGCGACCTGTACTCGATGTCATCGGAACCGAGTCTTGCGATCATACCAATGATCGGCAAGGACTATTTTGAGTCAGTTCCCTTCATGAGTTAATTTTTGAATTTTTATTTGTTCTGAAGATGTTTCAACCAATTTAATTCAGTTTTTTTTTTCATTAATGGAACTGAGTTAGAAAAAGTCATAAATTTTTAAGGTTCGACCCTGAAAAAGAAGCGTAAGAAGGAAAAAATAAAATTTCTTCTTTTTCTTGATTTGAAAGCTGTGACTATCACTCTATATCTGTTCCAACCTTGTGCGATTTTTTTTTCTATGCTACTTGATGTCGACGCGCGCAAGTACTTTTAAGTCCGTACATGCTTCGAATCAATGCCTATTGAAAATAATATCAAATTACTTGCGAATACCTCAAGTCAGGAAAAATGATAAAAGTCAAAAAAACAAAAAAAAACGTGTCTTAGGTTTCTCCTGGCCGACCAACCGTCGGATGACGAGGAAATCGCATCCCTCGCATTTAATATTGACGAACGGAAAAGAGTTTCTCACGATTGCAAACTTCAGCGTCAGGTTCTAGAAATTTCCAGATAATCCTTGAAAAAAATGTATTTGAAGGCAAAAAGACGGCGGAACAAGGTGAACGGCGTGGTGACGGCGACGGAAGCCAACGATTTCCTCTTGCACGACCTTCTTTACGGCACCAAGGTACATTTATTCAGTCAAAATTTCGTAAATGTTTCGATTGGATCATTTGTGATACTTGCACTTCATTTTCAGTGATCCTTATTAATCGATCGTTTTTTCAGACACGTGGAGAAAAGCTACCAAAACGAGTGGAAATATCGTTAAAGTCCAGGCCTACGCGACTCATCTATAAAAGTGGCACGTCTGCAAGCGATTTTCAAGTAATTCCAGTTCTTTATTCAGTCCATAAAACCAACTTTAAGGTTTCTCCAGCCGTCGGGGTTGACCAGAAAACGTTGATCAACGAGGCTAACGAGTTGGCCACTCAGATCGAGCAACTCACCAACTTCGAAGCCCAGGACTTCAGCAAACTTCATCCAAGTGATTTCGCTACCACAAGACCGACTTCAAGTCAAACCACGCCCGATTCGTTCAAACTTTTTGTGGAGCAGCAGCGAGCCGAAGAGATTCTGAAACGGAAAGCTGAGGAAGAACACTTCAGGGCTGTTGAAGAGAAAAAGAAGGCAGAACAAGAACGACTGGAGCGGGAAAAGGCCGAAGAAGAGGCAAAGCTTGAACGAGAGCGGCTTGAGCTGGAGCACCGCATTCGGGAAGAGCAGCGAGTGAAGGAGCAGCAGCAGAAAGAGGAACGACGGCGGAAGAAAGAGGAACGGCGAAAGCAACGCCGATTGGAGCAAGAACGACTTGAAAGACTTCGCGTGGAAGAAGATAAGCGACGGTTCCAGGAAGAGCGGGAAAGGCAAAAGCTGGAAGAAGAGCGCGTCTTACAAGAGAAGTTGCGAAAGGAAGAACAGGAAGTACTCCGTCGACGCGAGGAAGAAAGGTTGGAGAAGCTCCGAATCGAGGAGGAAGAACGACAGAAGCTGGAGAAGCAACGATTCTTGGAAGAAGAACGACAACGTCAGGAGCAAGTGCGACTAGAAAAGCTGAGATTGGAAGCGATTGAACGACAGAAAAAAGAGGAAGAGCAGCGACGTCAAGAACTTGAACGCTTGGAAAAGCTGAGGATAGAGTTTGAGCGAGAGAAACTTGAAAAGCAACGGCGATTAGAAGAAGAACGACTGCTCCAGGAGCAAAAAAAGCTGGAAAAGATGAGACTGGAGGCTGAAGAACGACAGCAAAAAGAAGAGGAGCTGCGGCGCCTAGAAGTAGAACGGTTGGAAAAGCTGAAAAAAGAAGAAGAGCAAAGGAAAAAATTGGAAGAGGTTCGGCTGCAGAATGAACGTCAGCGACAGGTTTTGGAAGAAAAAGCGAGGCAGGAGCATGAACGAATGATAGCTGAGAAGGAACGACTAAGAATGGAGAAGCAGAGATTAGAGGAGGAGAAGCAACAGAAGATTCTAGAGGAAAAGCGAAGAGTCGAGGAGGAGCGTCATCGGCTGGAGATGGAGCGTTTCGAAAAGGAGAGATTGGAAAGAGAAAACCGAGAAAAAGAAAGACGACGTCTAGAAGCTGAGATGGAAGAGAAGCAGAGACTCGAGGAAGTCCGGAGGAACCAAGAACAACAACGGCTTGAAAAGGAGAGAGTGGAGGAAGAGAGAAGGACGGTCGATGAGTGGAAAGAGAAACAGCGGCAAAATATGGAAGAGAGGAAACGAGAAGAGCAACGACTGGAGAGGATCCGACAGGAAGAATACCAAAAATCACTGGCTGAGTGGAGAACCAAGCAGGAGCAGAAGAAATTATCGCCGTCGAAGAAGAGCGGTGGTGACACTTTAGCGAGCAGTTCGGTGAGTTGACCTGTGTTTTCTGAACTTTTTCGAATTTTCTGAATGGGTCAGTTTCAGTTTGAGCCATAGACTTTTTCTTCTGATATCCGAAAATTCCGTAACCGTACTATAATCTTGTCTTAAATCGCAGAATCACTCTTCTTAAGTATTCTTCATGATAAAAAGTCTTGGTAAATGTGTCGAAATTCTGTCCAAGGATTTTTTCAATTAATCGATTCCAAGCATACAGGGGCAAGATCCGAACGTGGTCAGTCAGAGAAAGAGGTTGACATCAAGAATTTTCCCCGAACCGAAAGGGGGTCGGCGGCCCTGAAATTCAGTCTGCTCCTGTATGGTTGAAACAGAAAGTGATTAACCAGAGTAATGTTATGAAATGAAAGAGGAGAGTTGAATTTTCGGACTTAGAGGAAAAATGTGCGTAAGAAAACGCTTGAGAATTTTGAAAAAGTCCAAAAATGGGACCCTCCATTTCTCGAAAACTTGGTCTGGTCAGTTTGGGTCTTAAAAGTGACACAACTTTGTTCGTTTTCCGAATTTTCTGACGAAGTTTATATTTTTGAATCAAGCAGAAAAATTCTCAACAAAAATCTGTTTCATAAATTTCGAAAAAAAGACGAGAATTTGATTTCTCAATTTCTCATTTTTTTGGACCGTCCAACTAGTAGTCTCAAAAAGAAAGAGGATTTTGACTTTCTTCCAAATAAAGGCAGACCAGTCCAATTATTGGTGAAAAATTCTTCAAAACTCGCTAATTTTTTCTAATTCTGGGAGAAAGTTGTATTTTCGTATATACAATGTTTCCCTGAATTTCGGTCTGCCCATGTATGATTCAAAGAATTATTCTCGAGCCTTAAGAAGTTTTTCAACCCTCCGAAAGACGATAAAGCTGCCAAACTTGGCTTCGGAAACGATGCTGACATAGAAGATATCACCGCGGATTCGTTTGCTCCAACACAAGTACCTATTTTCGTGAGTTTTCGTACATTCTCAAATCCCACTTCTGAACGCTTCTAGGACCCGAAAAACGCGCTTTCGACCACCACTAAACTCAGACCAACTGAAATTGATGGCGAATATGGTAATTCGGGATGAATATAAACATGTCAGGAATTTTTAAGATGATTATGAGCAAGAGGAAAGGTTGGACGAGGCGAAAAAGGAGCACGATTTGCTCCGAAACGGGGAAGTCCAGGTGAGCTGTTTTCAGAAGAACGTGAAGAAATCACTTCGAGTTCAGAAAATCGTGCCTAAACAGCATCGCACAGCCGATGGTGAAGCCGTTTTATTTGAGGTCAGTAAGGAAAGAAATTTTCCTTGGGATCTTCAAGGAATAGATTATTATAATCTGTGTGCCACGACTTGAAATTTCACCGAACGACGTTCCGCTGTTCCGCGTTCGCGAAGCGTCTTTCGAATTTAAGTCACGCTTTCAATTGATTTTTCATTGTTGTGGGAGCACATGAAAGTAGAGTACCTTAATGAAAGAAAAAAAAAATTTTAACCTAGGATCGCAGCGGCACAGCGGAATGTCGTTCAATGAAATTTCAAGTCGTGGCACACAGACTATAAAAGGCATCCATGGAAGCGATTTTGCAACTTACCAAGAACGAATACGTTGAGCATTTTGCACGGAAATCATAGAGATGTTCAGGAACCAGTGTGTGGATCTCGAGAAGTCCCAGTCATGGTGATGTTTGCTGGTTCTTTGATGGAATCGAGGCAGCGGCCATTGGTCGGCGAAGTCAAATGGAGGCCAGCCGTGACCACTGCTCAGTGCATGAATCTCTGCAAAATGGATGACGATTGGTAAATTTTTTTTCAAACTTGTTCAAAAAATGAATGAACTATATTCGGTTTCTCGCGACTTGACACTGCTGTTTTTCTCTGCGCCCTCCTTATCTCTCGACGTCTCTCTCATGTTTACGTGCTCTTTCCATGTTTCTCTGACCCCGCCGGTGAGGGAAAAGAGAGACGCAGACACGCGAGAACTGTCGAATCCGTACCGCGCTTCTCACGACTTTTTACTACCGATTGGCAGAACCTCTCTCTTTTGCCGTGTTCAAAGTAATTCCGCGAAATTCAAATTAGCCGTCAAAGAAAGAAAAAGATAACTAAATTTTGGAGGGTCAGAGAAAATTTCGCATTTCGCGGAAATTACTTTGAAGACGGCATTTGGTACACTCGGCATTCCTCTGTGCATGCGCCTTTAATATAACGCCAAAGTCGCAACAACAAAATACATGCATCGAAAAAACGGCACTGCTGTTGAGAGAACAAAAAAAAATGACAAGTTGGCGCGGAATGGGCTATAACTCATTTTAAATGTGCAAATTTGCTCCATAGACAATATGATGGGGTTTTTTTTTGTTTTCAGCATGTCTGCAAATTTCTCGCCGAAAGGATGCGAACTGTCGTTGACGCGTTGGGTCGGTCAGCCTGGAGAGCAACTTCGAGCCGAGAAACGGTCCAGCTACTTGGAGAAGATATGCCTCTTTCCCATCGATATTGCAGGTTTCGCTTCATCTCTTTTCCATTCCGATAACGACCATAAAACAGGGGTTTTAAGGAAAAAGTTCCATTTTTGGTAAACCTTACAAAGTATATCCTGCACGATTCGCTATTGAAAGCCTCATTTTCGAACAACGTCACAGGTTTTCAGGGGAAAAAGTTGAGGTCTTCGCCGAGGTTCACAAGGCCCAAGTTGGATCAGTAATCGAAGTCGAAGACGCCATTTCTATGGATGAATGCGTCACTTTGTGTCTTCGAGTGAGTTGCAATAAGTCGACAGCTTTGAACTATTTTCTTTTTCTTGAATTTCAGGCACGAAGAAAGCGCTTATTTGACTGCAAATCTGCCATGTGGTATCCTGATGATAAGTCGCAGGTGAGAATTTGTATTTCGATATTTGGAAAAAGTAGGTGGAAGTTGGAAAAATGGGTCGAAGCCCTATGAAACGCTTTTAAAAATTCAAGTCTTGTCCTGAATAAAATTTTTCAGAATTGCCTGCTGAACACGGAGAATCGCCACACTCGACCGGACATGTATGTTGCGCAGGTTCCCACAGAAAACACATCACTTTGTTCAAAAATTATTTTAGAAGACTAAAGTCATTTATTTCGAAATCCCTCGAGAGGATGTCCAGTCTCACGGACCTTTCAAATTGATGGTGCGACTTTCGAATTTTCTTTGATTTGATTTTTTCATTTTTAGAAAAAAGATTCGCCACTTCCTCATGGGTTCACAACGTGGTCAAAGTGTAACGGTATGTTTGAAAAGAATCGCCAAAAAAATGAAAATAATTCCCACTTCAGATTTGACATTGGAGAAAACGCGATATCGCAAGTGTAAAGAACAAAAGGACGTGAGAAAATGTCCGAAAGAAATCGTCAAATGCGAAAAACCGACCAAGAAAGCTGCCGTTCCGGGGAAAAGGAGACGCCTTTCAAGAGGTTAGAAAAAATTCTTGAATTTTTTTTTCAAATGGAAAGTTTTAGTGAAGCATCTCAACGTCAAGAAAATCGAAAAAATCGAAGAACCGGCCAAGATTTCAAAAGTAAAAATTGATTTGAGTTGAAAGAAATAAATTAAAATGAATCATAGGTAAATGCAAAGGCTGAAAACTTTGACTCGGAGACGCCATCAGCAATGATGAGAGGTTCTCAGAAGACGTTGAACATCAACAAGATACCGTCTAATGTGACGTCAGAAATTGCTTCCAACTCTACTGCCCCATCACAGAAACTTGATAAGCTATTATCGTGATATATAATTTTTAGGGTTCTATGACTAATAACAATACGTGTACCTTTTTTTCGAATAACGAATCTATTAATAAAATTTGAAATATTTTTCCTTTTTTGCATACTTTGGGTGAAATTCCAGCTCAAACGGCTTTTTCTCGTTAATTTATGAGTTTTTTGCAGTTTTCTCGGGTACCGTATCCTACTCGGTCGTAAGCAGCACGTAGTTGCGGAGAACGCATATTATTTCACGCACAACTTCAGTAGATTTACAGAAACTTTAATGCCACGTTTAAAGTAATAAAACTACACGCGGAGAAATTATTTTTCCTGTTCACAGCCGCGTGCCGAAATAATACCCGCTTCCGCGCCAATATCCTTCTTGGCAACATTCTAACACGGTTTTTCTTCATTTTTTAAATTTCGTTTTTATGTTTTTTAC